TAGATTTTGACTGTTTTTACATTTTTGTATAAATTCATTCAGTCGCATATAAAGCCTCTATCAACGCGTTAATATTATTATTTAATAATTATATTTTACATTTTAAGATATGTGTCACGTATTTTCCTTAATTCAATAGTTTCTGATTGTTGTATAAATATTTAATATTTTGTTTACTTCATGGTTCAAACTTATTTTTTTAAATTGTGACATCTGAGTCTAATTGTATTTGATTATTTTTTAATCTTTGATGTACATGTAATTATTTTTTCTCACTGTCAGACAGATGTAATCCAATTAATTAATCAGTTCCAAGATGTCATAAGCGAGTACCTTGTTTTCTCATGTTGAGTTGTTTTCGCTTCAAATTGTTTATAACTGTCATTTAATTATCATTACTCGTTAATTGCCTTTTCACTAATTGTTATCTTAAAATCCTGAGTTTAATTTTTGATTGGTCCTTTTTCAAAACCTATTTCTTTAAATTGGACAAGAGTTGGGAAATGCGGATCCATTCTATGATTGCGCTAATAAAGACATAACATTTATAATTCCCACTCTTCGCCTCTATTTCTAGATCAAGGACAAACCTGATTGCAAGGATAGTCTAACTGACAAAAAGAATTGTCTCAATATACGGATCGGGCTCAGTTAACAAAAAAAACATACCCAAACCGTGTGAGACATTTATCTAAAATAAACATACCGCGGTATTAAAAAGTTATAATATCCCGGGTATGATTTTTAGAATTTTAATCATAAATAAATCATGTAAATCTAAAGGGTATACTATATAATATACTATTGTTTTGTGAATATTATCTAAATAACATATATACGTATAATAGTATATTGTGTAACGTTTCTCTCTCTATGGGGTGTTTGTTTCTACCCGCGTCACAAAATATTGTGGATCCCGTGTATAAATTCAGGAACTCTAGATCTTTATAGATCTAACATAAGAACAACGACAAAGTTCGTTTCAACGAGTGTATTAATAATATCCAAGAGTAGTTTTATAAATCAAATCCAAGCTATGTATATCAACTCACTAACCCTCTCTCCTTATATACCCTGTCTGACACCTAACGTGATTTAGGGCACCTAGTTAGGGCGTTAGGCTCCATCGTTAGGGCACCTATTAGGGCATTAGGCTCCATCATTAGGGCACCTGTTAGGGCAATCGGCTCCATCATTAGGGCACCCTGTTAGGGCAATCGGCTCCAAGTATTAGGGCCTCTGCACCATAATTAGGTGTCAAGACACAATATATAAGCACCATATTAATTAGGACACTAATTAGACTTCCAAGATAAGGGCGCTAATCAGGTACCATGGTTAGGACTTATCAGATAAACAAAATTCTTATCTCAGTTTTACTTATAACAATAACATATTTTCATATAAAACAAAAACATTACAATTGTATCAAATGCTGACTGACGTTTCTCTGACTAATTGTTAAAACCAAAATTAAATATTAAACACTGAATTGCCGACGGATTTTCCCGTCTTTTCCTTTTGATCATGAGAAGATCGAGCGCAGGTTTGACGTTCACTCCTCCGTGGCACCTATAGCTGATCCCGCCTTTGTTTTTTACGGGTCCGCGTTTGCTCTGCTCTAAAAATTAAAATTGTTGGTTGTTGCATGGACTTTAGAGCTTGAATACTGTTCGTAATCTTCACTAAACTTCACCAAAACGTATAGACCTATATATCGTCATTATGATATTCAGAATTTAACAGGGTCATTCTCAAATTTTGTCCAGATTCCATCAACAGAATTTAGAAAAAATAAATCCCGAGAACTAAATACTTTAAAGTTTTATGTTAGTAATGAAACATCAGAGATGCGTAAATAATGTTGAAACACTAAGAATTCTATCAACATTTACTATAAAATCCATTTTAAGTACATGCATCCAAAAATAAACGTCCATGGTGTTACTTACTTAGAAATCGCAATAAAATAATAACTAATAAAAATCTAAGGTTTCTAGAATCATAATCTCAACATCTTGACCAAAAATATTCTATCAAAACAAACTGGGGATTCTTAAGAGAGAAATTTCAGATGGCATGAAGCTGAAAGTTGTTAAAATTATAAAATTTGATTATTCTTACATATATATCTTAAGCATATGTCATTTTACGTCAGCATGAAACACTGGCTTTGCAAATATATTTCGTATTAGAAGACAACAGGATTATGTAGCAAGTTTTGATAAAAGTGTGGAAAGATTTAGAAAATAAATTCAGGAAAAATGGTTGAGTTACACCAAAGACATATTCATAACACAAAGGACATAAAAGTAACGCAAAAGACATTTTGTTCAAACCTTAAGAATAAAAAAATAAATTTGTTTCCCTCCCCCCGCAAAAAGCACAACAATGGCATTATCTTATAGATGTTAAAGAAAGTATATGATTTTAAAAAGAAAATTGCTTGCATGGGATTTTATTTCTTTTTACATTTGGAGTCTGACTAGTAACACATGATTAAAATGTAACAACATAGACATAATTGTCCAATTATAAAGATACGTCAACATCGACGAAAAATAAATATAAGTTATGCATGAATAATGAAGGATTACTATCATAGGACCTAGAATCATTGATCAGTACATATACAAGTATTTGTATGTCCTAAAAGGAGTTGTAACACCAAAGACAAAATGTAACACAAAGGATATCCTATTTTGTTTGTTGTTTTACATGCAGCCTCCTTCCACACTGGGCTATCTATTAATTATTTCCTACCCACAGGATGTGGAGGACCAGTTTATATAACCAAAACAGCACCTATGTTGTACTAATATTCATCTTTTACAGCTTTTGGTCGTATTTAGTTTTTTTTTTTTCATTACTGCTTTGATCACATTTCTGATTGTCTCTTTACCAGTGTTTCAGCAATTTTATCTGTTTTCTTTTCCAGGCTCTCCGTGTTTTCAGCATTTTTATTCGAATTTTTCTCCAGGAACTCTGGTTGCTTTGGTTTCTCTTCAAATGTACTGTTTTGTCCTCTTAATACCCCAACTTTCTGCCTTTCCTTTTTCATAAATTATTTGATTATATGTTAAGTGTTGATCAGCTGCATACTCACCAGAATAAAAAGTATATACCTTTGTCTAATGCCTATTTGTTGTTTGATATAAATTTCAAGATATGCTGGGAAAGATAGAGATCCATATTAAGTACTGCCTCTAATATAATGTCCACTCTTACTTCAGCTGCTCTATAGTGCAAGGTTTACAAACAATTTCCAACCCTTACTGGGTAACTAAATTAGACAAATCTGCATGAAGAGTATCTTCATCTACATTCAAACAACAATTCATGATTGTTGACAGATGCCTTGTTCCTCGGAATTACAATCTTTCGATATCGCTTTTGATAGTGATGAAAAATTCGTAACTATTTTATCGTCGGACATACTCATTCCATGCTAGAATAGTCAAATGTTCTCTATCTGACGTTAAGAAGGTGTCTGAATTCATTGGATCTTTCACTTGTATGTCTGTCTCTTTTTTGCAACTTTTGAAATGTTTCGTCCTTCCAATATCTTCATCGAGAGAACATGACATAGAATCAACAGGTTTCCGAGTAAAAAATGTTATATATCATCAAATCCTGGATTCTTATTTTATTCCCTTGTATTCCTAAACTTCCCTGGAGTTACCACTTTAACCATCTCATTTTTAAGAACTTAATTTTTTTTAAATGTAAGTCAAATTGTACCAACTCCCCACAATTGCTTTCTTTTATACATTGAACACAATTACGACTTCTGCATACGTGATATTTTTATTTCATTTTTCTATCTTCAATGCTTTCTTTGTCCCTTGAGTAACTGAATTTGTCTTTAATGTTACCACAGTTAAGTATTATAGGGTTAAAAGGGGGTAACAATGTATTTCATAAGAAATTTTGAGATTTCAATTTACTCAAAATAAATAAAGACTCTCTACGCTACTGCTGAAACAAGTGTAAATACAAGAGTATATTTATAATGTACGTTTCATCATTTTGACATCCATGGAGTTACCAAATTTGTCCTTTGTGATACGCGTATCGTTTATTGAATTAATTTGTAGCATGTATAAAATATTGTATGTAAAACATATGCTCAGATGATACAAATATTATTGATATATTATTTTCGATAAACTTTACACATTATATTGTATTTTTAAAATGTAAATATTGAAGTTTCTGTACAGATTGTCCATAGAGTAATTAAATATGTCCTTCGAGTAACTTTTCCTACAGTAACAAAATGGACAGTAACGCCAGGGAATTATTACATCAAAAGTTGTAAGTACATGTATAAAAACAATGACTGACTTATGAAGATAGAGCACAGCACCTAGAGAATGTGTATTTTACTACAAAGTCACTCAATGCATCAAAAACATTGTATTTCATTTTATCATCCCATTATTAAAGTAACTCCAAGGACTAAACAAATAATTACTCTTTCAACCAAACTCAACTGAAACCATATATTGTGTCTACGGGGTGAAACAAGTGTATTTTGTGTCTTTTTATATATTGGCGTGTAAAAGATGTTTAGAAAGCGGCTGATTCAGAAGAGTTCATTGAGTAAAGATAACTGTTACAGATAACTTTTATGTTTAGGTAACACCAAGGACGCGGCAGAAGTAACGAACACTTACTGTTTAAAAAAATATATTTTTACTCTTTTTCAGTTACATTTTAGCATGTTTTAAGTATTTACAATACACTAAAGGTATTTTATACTCCCAAATTATATTTAGATCTACTGTCTCGATAAGGAGAGTTGAATGCATACAGTAAAAATTAAAAAAGCATAATATTTGTTATAGAAAGTGATGTTGCATAAGTATATTTTATTTTTTATCAACCTTATTCCAAAGTGTTAATGAATTTTAGAGACTCAAACTCTCATTGCATCAGTTTTTTCAGGGTGTGACGTCATGTCACAATTCATCTCCAGATGGCGCTTCGATTCTTTCAATCCTTTCGGAACTTTCTGGCATTTAGATAGTCAGCATCGAAAGAAAAATATAAACACAATTCCGAAAGGACTTCATGTGACGAACAAAAACAAAAAAGATGGCAGAAGCAGTTCGAGACAGAAGTAGCAAATCTAAAGTAAAAGTATGTATAGCTTATTCAGAAAATGCCATAGAAAGTACTATAGAAATTTTTTTGGGTGTAAGTTCACATTTGTTTCACCCGTGAACCGAGGCTACGAAATTAATGAATGAATTGTAGTGTTTGAAATTAGATGAACAGCTGATGCAAACGTACGTAACTTTTGTTTTGATCGTTGATTAATGAATGGCATTAGTTTTTTTTTTTTGGAAATGTATCAGTTTATGTTTTCAGTAGCACTTAATTTTCATGCAAATAATTGAAAGAAACCCATGCAATCATTGTATGAACACGACAGTAATATAGCCTAGATGTTGCATAATGGTAATCATAATCACATGGGAGATTTGGGATTACATAGGTCATGTAAATCTCAGACAGATATGTCGAGATATGAAAGGAACATGAAGGAACATAATGGAAATACAGATTCTTTCTTTTTGCACACAAAACTCATCTTGTTAGAAATAGCTAAATATGTGTTATGTAGAATAATTACTTCCAATCAGTTATCACCAAGTTTTGTGGTTAACCAAAGTGAAAAATATATTAACCTGCCAGTTATTGTCTACAGGTTGTCAACAACCAATCATTTTATTAAGATTCAATTTTAATTATAACCAAGAGACCTTCATTTTTATAGGTAGTATAGGGCGTATTTGATTTGTCAACTCAAGTATTGAGGCGAGTTGATATTAAGCATGCGCACAAACGAACGTATTCTCTTTTTAATCAAACGGCAAGAACACAACTCGAGTGCATTGAAAATGCCGAGACATTGTTTTGCCTATATTTTGTTGATGCTTTTTTGGAAAGCAAAGAAAAGGGCGATATTTGGGAAAACGACGAATTTCTATTGTTTATTTTTTCTGCCTAAAATCCACGAAAAACAGATGTAATGTGGCAAAAATTGGTACATTTGTGAGTGAATTAATTTTTTTATGCCTCCTCTTCTGAATTATTACCCAATATCCTTATTTACTAATTAAAATGATAATCAATTTTTAAGATTTTAATCAAAAAAATATATTATCAAAAAAATATGCCTCATCATCCCACTTTCCCTTCCTTGTCAATGTTAGCAGCCATCTTTGTTCTTGTTCACTCTTATAAAATTGGAGAGTATGTTTGTGACCTAATTCTACAACACGCGCGTCGTGTTCGAGGTGTTTTATTTAGAAATCCGACTCAAGAGTTGCAGTTTGTGTTTAAATCAAATACGCCCATAGATTCTTCCTTGTTAATAACTAAGTTTAATAGCATTAGAATACCACATCAAGTGAGCAAACTTGTAAGTAATTAAAGTAAATAAAGCATGACATCACAAAGTGCAGATCCCCATTAGGCCATAATAAAAATATTCCTAGATTCTCATCCCCGCCCGCCCCGATTTTATACCCCCGCCTCGATTTTTTTTATTTCTGTTTTTGTTCGTCTTATTTTTTATCGAGATCGGTATTCATCTACCATTCTACTTTCGTTTTAAATCCCGCGAAAGTCGACATGATTTTGACAGCTGAAAAGATGGTAATTGCTGTAATACATGCATAGATATTTTAAATAAGGGTCATTGGTTGAAAAATATTGGTGATGATGTGAAGTAAGAGAAAATTGAACCTTTACTATGACTTTTATTCGGGTATTGTATGTAAAATTACACCGATTGACCAGGTCAATAAAAAATCTGCAAAATTGAAAAAATAAAAAATATAAAATAAAAGCCGCCCGCCCGCCTCGATTTTTAAAAAAATTCGGATGAGAATCTAGCAGTTTATTTATTATGGCCTTATAGATACCTCAGGACTGTAAACTCCATGTCATATAGAAAGTTGTCTTGACTTGTTCAACCAGACACTTGCCATCTCCTTATAATCTCCTGATCATCAGAGTTTACAGAGAAACCCAAGTGTCTAGTTGAATTAGATGCAACACTATAACCTTATGGTTTTATATATTATAGTCTTTAACTATAACACTACAGATGCTGTAGTGCAAAAATGGTGCAATAATGAATTTACGGCTCAAGATTTTCTGCGCACCTCTGGGGAGAATTTCATATTTTATAACTTTTCAGCATTGGTCAGTCAACTACAGTGGACCCTCATTTATCCGGACGCGTTGGTTCCCAGTCAATTTGTCCGGATATGTGAAGCATCCGGATATCTGAATCACCAGTTAAACAAGACAAAATAACATTTGAAAATTTCGTTCCGATAAAAAATCGTCCGGATACTGAAGCATCCGGATATCTGGCGTCCGGATATCTGAAGGTCCACTGTACTTGCAAAGTCATACTTGTATGTGATAAACATGATAAATAGAATTGTGTTGCTTGACATGAAATTTAAATCACTTTAATTTTTTTCTCAGATTGGCACTTGACATTATATTTTCCTAATATTCATGGCCACCAGGGTGGGGGTGAAGGGGCATGCCCCCAATAATTTTGTTAATACATATAATAAAATACTATAAAAACATGGGTTTTAGGATTTTAGGATTGATTATATACTTGTCAGTGAATTCATGCATTATATACTGATTTAGTGCAACTTAATGAATGTTTTAGTATCTTTTTGATTATCAAATAATGTTTGGATGATTAATCTAGATAATTCACCATTGATTAAATAGATAGCCCTTCACAATCAGAAAACCCATCATTCACTCAGTGAATATAACAAAGTATAATTGAATATCCTAACAATAAAAAAATGTTGTTCAGTTTATGCAATTCTTTTCAAAATATTTTTCAGAATAAAAAACAGAGGGAGAAATCAGACTTTAAAGAATTTAGTAATGAAGTGGACTCTTCCAGTTCTCAGAATGTTTCCTGCTATGAGAATGTCAAAGATTTCGAACCAAAGGAAATTCCCGTAGAGAGGCTCAATGAAGGGAAAGAAGAGGTAAAAATAGAGATACTAGTAGAGACTCTGCCGGAACCACCAAAAACAGATCCGGAACCTCCGGATAAAGTGGAGATTCCAGTTGAGCGGAAATCCGGAAATGTGCCGGATGAATGTAATGGGACAATGACCAGGGAAAGTTCTGAGCAGGAAAGTGAATTAAAATCTGAACAACTCAAAGGAAGGATGGAAGAGCTTCCTGAATCTAAGAATAGAACAGAGAGTAATGAAAGTGAAGGAATGGATCCGTCTGTGAACAGAAGTGAGAGCTTCCATTCAGCTGTATCCTCATTAGAGAGTGGAGATAAAAATTTACTTGTTGATGTAGAAATAGACCAAAAGCAAGAGACAGAAGGAAATTCAACACAGGAAACTTGTGATGTAGAAATAGATCAACAGCAAGAAATAGATAGCAATATCACTCAAGAAACCTGTGATTCTAAAGGTCACGTTGAAGCAACAATATCAAAAGGTTGCGTGACACTTGAAAAGGAGGAGATTGGTAGTGATAAACAGACATATTCTAAAGAGGAGGAATCTAGAACAAGTGTACTTGATGGAGAATTTGATCTGACACCAAAGGGTGAGGAACTGAATAGAAAAGAAAATGAAAGGACAGAAAATGCAGCGTCTGCAAAGTTAGAAGATGAGCAGACGGATATTGTGTCAAATCAGACTTCTTCGGAAAAATCTTCAGACCAGCTGTACCCAGTTTTGGATAAGTTTATGGAACAGGTTACCATGAGTACAGGGAAACTGGAGGTCATATCATGTTCTGTTGGAACCACTTCAATCACTGCGACAGCCCCTGGTGTGGAACATCCAATGGAACGAATGGAACGACCAAAACAACTAGGGCCTGTGGAAAAGGAGGCATACCATGACAGGATTCAGCCATTGACCAGAGAGCAGATGAAGAGTTTGTACTACAACGCTCAGTTGGTTCACAATCCAGCATTTATTGACAGATTTATACAGGTATTAAGTGGACATATAATATAGTGATAATGAGGTTTAGAAATGCACATGTACAAAAATAAGGATCCAATGAAATTTCTCTGTAAAGATATTAATATTACACGTCGTATATTCATGATATTAGTGTTGCAAAAACTGCTCACACAATTTGATATATTTGCATCAGGTAAGTACGTTTAATTGGATACTTAATAATTGATTAAAATTTGAAGATGATGATGTTTTAAAATGTGATAATTATAAACGCCTCATCATGCTCATGCAGGTACATGTATTAATAATATATTAATATCTGCAAGAAAAAGGGTCGGTTTATTATGAACATCTTCAATTATCGGTACAATTAACGTGATTAACATGATAAAAGAAAAGTCTTTTATTTGGTTATGCATTGCTGCAAATATTTCCAATTTATCTTTCTGAAACAAAACATGATTGTATCCTTTTACATTTGAAAAAAGTAGTTTTCTGAATTGCTGTGGGATTGAAAGTGTTAATGAAAGGAAATTTTGGATCAATATGAATATACTGAATGACGCAGATACTAATTATGAACAAAATATTTTTATTCTGCTTAAGATAACTGATTTTAAAAGTCTAATGCACATTCATAATCTTGCTATGTTATACATGTTATACAAGCTCAAAGTCACACAGAAGAATGATCTGTTTCTTTGTCTTTATTTTTACACTCTCTATATTTCTACAGAGTGAACTTAAGCGTGAGAACCACGAGTTTTATGAGATACTCCTGAGTTATCTCGGTGCGAGGCGACACTTTCTGAGCGCGGAGCAGGAGGTACAGGTCCTACAGGCAGACTACACACAGTACAAGGAGCAGAGCTGGGTCACCGTCAAACAGTCCATGCTGGCCAAGGTAGAATTCTAAATAGAATCATTATCATTTTTAGCTCTGTGTGGGCAGTGATTGTTAGGATTTGGGGGGGGGGTGTAAAATGGGGAGAGGGGTAGTCTTTCAGAGTTTAATTTATAATTAGGTTAAGGTTTTATCAACAGCTCGGTCACAGTCAAAGAGTCCATGCTGGCCAAGGTAGTTTTTTTTATATAGAATCATAATGATTTCCTTTTTGGCACTGTGTTGTTCGAAGGGAGTGTGTGAGTTTGTTCCTTTGTTGGGGGAGGGGGGGTAAAAATTAGGAATGGGGGTATGCTTTTAAAGTTTAACGGTACTTTGGTTAATAAAGGTTGTATTTTATTATATTAGCTGGGTCATGGTCATACACTTTAAGTCCATGCTGGCCAAGGTGGTATTATGCATTTTAGCTCTGTGGGTGGTGATTTTGAGGAGATGGGGTGGTGAGAATTAATCATTCTTTTCATTTATATAGGTTAAGGGATGAATGAGTTATTGTTATTATTTTTTTAAATTTACATTTTGTGGATGACATGATTAAGTGGGTCTCATCATACATAAAAACAGTGAAATTTAAACCCCCATGAATGCTTGTGATTTCACATTATTTTTCCTGCAAATAAAAAATATCATTTTTATCATGTTTATGTAAACTTGGATTTTGACAGGGTGTGTGTGGAGATGGGGCATCTTGTAAGACAACACACATGTATGAATCGATAGACTTTCATGACGACACATTTAGCAACTGTAAGAAGACCTTGACCTCAATTCGACACAACATTCAGAATCAGCTGGCATTGTATTCATACTCCTCACAGCTTGCCAGGTAACCATGACAACCATGTCAACGATTTTTAATGTTAATTTTCAAATTAATAAATTAAAACAAAACAATTAATTTTAGATAAACTTAGTATGATCATGGTACATGTACTACGTCAGTTAGTGAATCAAAAAGGTCTTTGATTTTTTATAGATAAATGTAATTGTTATGTATCTCCTTTAATGAGGATGTTATTTGCAGATTGCAGGTAGAATCGTACATACATGATTTATTTACATCGTCACCTATTCTCCGAGATATCCCCAGGAATGCACCTGTACAAGGTGTGTGAACCCCCTTGTTTTTTGTCAATTAATGAAATGTTGCTGCAATTAACATATTAAGTAACTACCAATTTTAAGTCAAACCGTTTTTGTCAGTTCTTAATAAGATGTTGCTGCAAATAAACATATTAAGTAACGTACTATTTTTTCTTCTCAAAACATTTTTGTTTGACAGGTTCATTATCTCTCAGAACATCCATATAAAAGTTTGATTGATCTCTCGAAACAACCAAAACAACTGAAATTAAATTGCTTAATTTGTTTATTTTGAATAGCCAACTGTAAACATATTTATATCTTTTAGATACAATCATATTTTAAGGTCATCAACAATTTCAGCATACATAAACAGAAATCCACTTTTCATTTGTCAGACAATTTATGAATTAAGAAATAATAATAATTTTTACCAGTGAGAGTTATATTGTTTATCAAAAGATAAACGAATCTAAAGGAGAAATGACCCCATGATAATAGAGATAATTCTACAGTGATTGGTAAATCACTACTCTGTATCAAGACTTCCTTTAGTGTCTTATACTTGTTCAGTAAATAATTTTCAAGCAGTACTGGTTTTTATTGCAAGGGTATAACTAAAAGAGTAAATTGAAATATCATTTTTGGTTTTGTATCTTCAGAAGATTATCTTTTCCCAGAAAATTCTATTTTTGTACACAAAGGTAGGGCGTGCTCTCTCCTTAAGAAAACTATCAAGAGGAATAGACTTTGAGTTAAGGAGGGATGGGACACTTGGAGATATTGATACAGGCAATAAGTAGATTGTGTTTGAGATAGAAAAATGTTTCCACTCAATTTAAAATTCTGATTCATTTGAATCTTTTTCAAACATTTGCTTATTGTAGCATGCCATCGTCACAGCCCTGACGTTCAGCACCAGATCAATCGACTGCGGGACTGTATTACAGTTCTGTTTGTCTTTCATCGCCAACCAATCAAGGATCAGGAATTTGTTCAGAGCATTAGAACATGGACTCAAAGATTGGTATGAAATTGAATGCCAAAATATTACTATAGCGCCCTTCATGAAATATGCCTACGTGACAAGTCTGTGTGATTCACACACCAATAACTCGCACAAAACTTGAAAACATTCCTTAAATAAATGTAGGTCTGTCAACTGACAGTTGTATTCTTTGAGTTTCAAACATACTTTTTGACTCGATCAATACTGTTCATTAAAATACCCTAAGAGGTGATGTGCTGAAACTCATATCTTTTTTTGATAGTTATATTATTTTATATTTGAAGGTATCTGCTTTAGTAAGGGTTGCAAGTTATGAGGACCATTTATTTGTACTGAATCACATCTTACGCTGTCCAGCTGGGGTTGGAAAGTGGGGAAGCAGTTTAATTCAGTTCCCAACATTCCCTTCTCATGGGAACCAATCAAGTTTTGACAGTCCAGTTTTGGATCACTTCTTAACATGTCTTGCCACTGTCCTTATGCCTATCAAGTAAGTGTCAATTAATTTCAAATGACTTATGTAAGCATTTTTTTAGTTGTTACATGTATTTCACTTGCAGTTAAAGAAAATACATGTTTTATATGTATACATGCAATTGCCTTTATTCCTGAAATGCAATTTTCCATTGATATGCTTATTAAAGTAAAAAAAAAATCACTTTTCAGTATATCAGAAGGTATAAGATTTATTGTAACACACAAACAATATTATTAACACATAATACATAATTATATTGTTATGATGTGTACCATAGAAATGCTACTACCTGACCGTAAGTTTTATTTGAACTCTATTTTTTTTTATTTTTTAGAGGCAGAGATGATTTTGTAGCATTGATGGGAAAATGCACGACATTGGAGGGTGGGAACCAGTCAAACAACTGGATCATGGTGGATTCTGATGGAGAAGAGGTACATTATTGAAAGATTTCTTTATGCTGAAAATGCACATAAATATTGCTGAAAACAAATCAATGTAATTTTTTAACATAAGTCTGCATGCTCTTTTGATCGTTAAATGCTGTACTAAAACTGTTCTCAACTCTATGAAGGATGAAGATCCAAAGAATGCTTGGTTATACCTCCATGAAAATGATGTAGTTGCCATACTAAATCAGCTACAGGTAGCAGAAGTGTTCAAGCATATCTTACTGATGACTTCGAATTCTGATGGTAAGAATAGTTTGTATTTGATAACTTATTACTTTTATAAAAATATCAATTAATCTGAAAAGTTAAAAATTAATTCACAAAAAGCTTATAATGAAGTGCTAGGAATGGTGGATTTTGTTTTGATGTAAGCATAATTTGATATATCCATAATGTGTTCATTATATTATGAAGTCAAGGAAAATGAAAATCACTTTACTTTTCAATCAGTGTGTCACGACACCCTAAGCTTGATCAGTGATAACAAGATTGTTGTTGTATTTACAATTTTGTATAAAACAAATATGTACAAATAAAAAAAAGAAAAATATATGAACAATTTCAAAATGTCATTTATTATAAGAGAGTTAATAACGGTCCATGTACCACAGCCTTTAATGTTATTCATGAATTGTCTTATGCATCTGCAATGCTGACTAAATGAAAATTTATGGCCTCGGCCTAGCATACCACACCCTCGTGTAGTCGTCCAGGTTGCCACCGCCGACAGCATCAAACCATCGTGTAACCACATTTACATACATGTATCTATAGGGACCTTCAAAAAAGTGTAGACATAATAAGCTTGACCCCAAACGGGCTGCTTTACAACACATCATAAATGTTTACACATATAATTGTTCAAACACAGTTTTAACTAATATGTATCACACTGTTTCGTACGGCAAAGCAAAATAATGTACAATATAACGTTTCTGTAATAAACTTATGTTTTGTGGAAATCCTTGGCATGTGCACTTAACATTCCCATATACAATTCAAACACTTTCTCTCATGGATAAAAATAGAATAAGCTCAATCAATATAACACTACGTTACTTTTCAATATAATAAATGTAAGTAAATTGCACTTACCCTGATTGGAACTGTACACGAATAAAATTAATGAGAAAATGGTTGAAGTCTCAAGTGTTATTGTTGCAAAAATTATTTTGATAAAAAAAAAAAGGACAGATGAAGCATAGTATAAAATTGAAGCAAATGCCCTGTAAATAATTGATTGACACAGGCCTGTCAACATTATAAGCATGTTTTCCTGTAATTCAAAAATTGCTGAAATGATGCAGTTTCTGAAATAGATATGTGATGATATATTATTTTCCTATAAATACTCCTAGGGTGTGCTTTCAGAACATTGGCCTTTGTTTTGTGGAGATAGGCTTCAGACCTACAACATGCCAAGATATAAACAGCTCAACAATGCATGTATATGAGAAATGAAACTGATATCTGTGTTTGGCAAGAGTTCAAGGAAAATTTGAAGTCTCAAGTGTTATTGTTGCAAAAATTAATTTGATAAAAAAAGGACAGATGCAGAATAGTATGTTGATGCCCTGAAATAAATAAATCCAGGTTCAATATTCAAAACATGTATATGAGAAATGAAACTCATATCTGTGTGTTGCTTTATAATGCCATCAGAAAGAAATCTGCTTGATGATATATCAATCCAAAAAAAAAAAAAAGTCTTAATATACTTATACAATTCTATATATTTTTCCTTGCAGAATGACTGTGCAGTATGTGTCAGACCACTGTGAAAATTTTTACGAATTAAACAGGCGGATTCTTTCGCCAGCTCAGCTCAGAAGACTGCAAGTGGAGTACAACTGCTTCTTCCAGAGATGTTCTAACACTATACTGTCTGCAGAAAAGTAAGTCAGAATAGCTACATGTTATTTGTTATGCTGCCTCCTTTTTTCAGTCTATGTAACTACTTTGTATTTGATGGTAGCTTGATTTAAATATTGAGTCTTCAAGCATTCTGAAAGTAAGATTAAAATGACGAGAAAAACTTCTAACAAGCACTTGGCTATAGCTTCATTAAAAGTGCAGATCATTCAACTATTATTATAAAATAAATATGTAAGAGTGATTGGGTATATCCAAATTTGATCCAAGAGGACTTACTGTATGTACTTTTACATATTATGTACTTGTAGATTGGGATCTTGGCAGTTTATGACAGACATGCCGTACACCACTGTCTCCAAGGAAACCATGTGGTTGCTGCTCTGGTCAATGCATCAAGGAAGAGGTCAGAAAATCCTAACAGACTTACCGACAGAGGAAGAATGCCGGAGACTTGTGGCAGGTCAGATATAAATGATTACTTGATTTACACAATTATCACTTGAATCATTCTGTCAGATGACTTAAATTTCAGCACCAGTCCTGTTTTAGCTATTTGCTGTATACTTCCATTAGACATCGATTAGTATACAAAAAATTGAAGGTTTTCAACGGCATCAGAAAAGCAAAGGAATTAGACAGAGAAGAATTAATTAATCCAACTCCTAATGATGAGGAAAATATTAAAATATTACCACTAGTCACAACTTACAATCCTAAAAACCCAAATATTACACCTATCGTTCAAAAATCTGGGGTCATTAAAAAATCTTCTTCTTAAGAACCACGGATGAAGAAATGTCAAATGTTCTTTCAAAATTCAAGTTGATAAACAGCAAAAGGCAGCCCAAAAACCTCAGAAGAATACTCTGTCCTTCCAAAATAATGAAATCTACAAAATCCGTGACAAAGTGTAAAGATCCTCGATGTGGCAGTTTTTAACACTGTAAACCAACTTTTATTCGCGAAGACTTTATTTCGAGATTTACATAAGGTAAACTAGTTCGCGACGATTAATTTTGGGGAATCAAAGTTTTACATAGAAATATATATATTTTAATAGAAAAGAGACTTATGTGGAAGGACCGGTTCTAAATTGTTCAAATCATGAAATATTCGCAATGACAAAATTTTACTAGAAATATATGAACCTCTTTGAAAATTTCTTCTTAATAACAACTGGGTGAATAAAACTTATTGAAGTTTAGTGTAGATTTCAAATTGCTAATATGATCAGAAGGGATACAAACCTTAAGAAACTGAAAAATCTTTTCCTTTCATTTTGTAAGGGTTGGATAAAAAAAATCGTGAACATTGTAATTTCTTTTCTCCTACAAATCTAACAAACACAGTTTGCATAATTAAAGTGGATATAAAAGTCCTCTACTAAATATTAATATGTTTTCAATATTCTTCAGGGTCATAGGGTTTAGCATTCACATAGGAGCTTATTCAATCATGCAAATTTTTAATGTAATTCAAAAAATTTTATCATTTTATAAACTTTTTGTAATATGAAACTTTGTGTGATAAAATAAAAGTTGCATACTAGGCCTTTGGGAATTTGAATAATCTAAAAGTTTGATGACTTTTCTAATGATTCTTTAAGTCACATAACGTAATATGGCTGACATTTTTTCTTGATTTCAGACCCAGACAGTAAGCTACAGTTGGCTGATGTTATTAACCTCCTTCCCACCTCGGAGGTCATCTTCCTGTTAACAGCTCTAGCCAACATGGCGCAGTGTAGGAAAGCAGACGAAACAGAATTCATCGAGGCTGTGGCATTTGGGTTATTTGAGGTACTATTCATCAAACAAATATACATATCGGGACAAAATTTTGTAATTCAGGAAGCAATAATTCCAATAAACAATCTGAGCATATATTTATTATGTACATGTGCATACAAAAAGCAACTCTATTAGGTCATCCCTGGCAATTCATCATAACCAGGTTGTGCCATATGATGCAGAAGAATTTAAATTTTCTTGTGCATAAAGTAGTTTACTATCATCTGATTTCCTGTGTTTTAGATCTGCTATGTATGTAGCCAGACAAGAGAAGCCTGCTCCAAAGTCGGGAGGGACTTACTAGTGACTGTAGCCAACGCCCACCCATTTATTCTGTCTCTTCTCATCCAGGGTACCAAAGATAACATGGCCAACATTGGGCCTGTAAGTTGAATCAATATGCTTTGTGATTTTAATGAAAAGAAATCCAATACACTGTACATGATATATGTATTACTGATAATTTGAGTTAACTTCTCTTAATGAATTGTAAAAATAAAGCAATTATGGCAACTCAAAGTAATATGTTGAGGCTCTATGTTCCTATGGACACGCTTTTAATGAATTGATGCATAAAGGGATGTGATATTCATGCATTTCCCATGTCTTTAAAATTTAAATATTTTGTGAAAGTAATGGATATTATACCAGACAAAAATATCCTTGACCGAGGCGAAGTGGGTCAATAGATATTTTTCTGGTGAATAACAAACCATATTCCACACCAAAAGAGTCCATAATTGTTTTATTATATAGTCGGGATTTGAATAGATAAGACATTGAAGGCTGTATGACGACACCAGTTTCATTTGCAATCTTCTATTGTTGAAAATTAAAAAAAAATCTCCAGATTACTGTTTGTAACCTCCGCTATGTGTTTTGCTATGTGTAAGACGTCCAGATGTTAAAAAATAATCCTGAAATAGGTTTGATTAATTGTTTTCCTGCTCAGATACGTAGCTCGCTGCGGCCGTTGCAACTTTACAACGTTGTTCGATGTTTTGATTGTGATGTCACAATGCTGTTGCACGCGTATTGGCCCTCCGGTGAATACGGCCTAAAATCCGGTGAATACGTAGTGTTATGAACTGTTTGCATTTGTATAGATTATATAGGGACTATAAATAGACTATATAATAAAACATATTATGTTTATAACAGAAGATCATCTGTCCCTGGAACTTTGTTATAAACATGTTTTACAGTTATAGATTCGCAGCTAGGATAAGGCTGCCCGTAAAATATTATACTGTTCAAACTGTAGTAACTTCTCTGAACTACCTAGATATGATGTCATAATAGAATATGACGTCAAGTCACCACATACTTGAGCTGACATGACAGGGAAAGTATCATAATTTTTACATGGCATGTCGATTTATTTTGGGGATTTGTTGTTAAATTCAACTGTTAGGGTGTTTTTAAGCTCCAGTGTGCTGTTATGATGTTGAACATTTGAAACTTAAATATCCCTATTCCTTTCGCTTGTCTGATATGCACATATTCAAATAGCGAAAAATTATGTGTGAAACGCTCCCCTTACATGTCCGTAGACAGAGTTAGAATTTAAGAATCGTGTTTATATTGGACTGGCACAAGTGAAAGACAAGGATAAATTGAAGATGTTCTGCGTGAATCTACAAGAGAAGTTTGACTTCTCACGGAATTTTGCTGGGGGATTGTGTGTAGTTTATCAATTTTTGTATAAATCATGATAAAGAGTGGAAAATAACCTTTTTTATGTTGGTAAGTTGAATTTCTCGTAAAATATTTCCTTAACAAGTAAAAATTAAACCTGCCCCCAGCACTTTCTATGTACCAGAGATCTCAATGAATTGATCTATGCAACAAACTCTGCACAATATTTTTGTATTGCACTTGTGCCGAAGCAATTTTTGTGCAACAATTAGGAATATCATAAATCTCCGTCACGTGATCAACACAGTCATGTGACATCACAAAAATGCTTTAAAATAAAACCTGATTAAACTTTTATCTCAAGTTGACTGCAATTTCAAACAAGGATTACATATTTAAAATAAAATTCTAGCTCAAAATAAAATGTATATTTTAAGGCATTTTAAGCCTTCTGACAGCCTTGTCATAACTGCGTTCTCTTGTAAGCAAGTTTTACGGGAACCATAATAATGATATTCGTAAGTTAATATTCTGAGGTGTTGTATGATTTACAGTGTTTTTGACTGTTTGCAGATGGCCCTGTACCTTTTCCAAGCTCTGCCATTTTACCAGTGGATTCCCTGTGAGCCTGATATAATTGTTTTAAAACAGTGGCTGATGTCATCTGATCTCAACCAGCCCCAGAATCAACTCACAAGACATGTGCTTAGTCAGCTTAACTGGGGAGTGGATCAAAAGGTAAGCTTAGGAGTGGCAGGAGTTAAAATGGAATTCACTTGTACTAAGATTCTAGTAGGAATCATTATATATTTCCTATAGACATCATACATGTATTTGCAATTGTGTGTTTTCTCTTACAGACCAAGAGACTGTTTCTGCCATATGAAATTCACAAACAAATAGCTGTATTGCTGACAGAGGCCTTTGGTAAATTCATCACTAACAAAAACATGGGTTTCTACATCACAGAAAGCTTTAAACAGGTAAAAATTATCGTGACTATGTATGATCCTTTTGAGGGAAATTTTATTCAAAATGTTTTAAAAATGCATTTGAAATTTGCTTTAATTAGATATTCATATGATTTACATTCCATTCACTTTGAAAGCTTCTTTTGCAAAATTGTTTTATTATGGAAGCTTTTACTGAGTTAAATGATTAATAGTTGAGGTCAGAATGAAGATGATAGTCAAACATTTGATTTCAGCTTGCTTCAGCAATGAAACAACAACAGACCAATGAGCAAGTGTTTAATATGTGGGCATGGAATGTGGCCGTAAAGTTGCACCTTCATCAGAGCAGCTTTCCATCAGCTGACATTGCATTGGCTAATATCAGTGGAGGCGTGCCAGAGTTAGCCAATGACAACTCACTTCTACCAATCCTGAAAGGTCTGAAGGAGAAAAACGGCATGGCTTGTTACATGGCTTTGGTTATAACTAAATTTGGACATAGGTAAGTGCAGTCAAATTTAACCTTGTTAACTTAAATTCAACAAGACCTTCATTAAAAAGAAGAAAATGGTTTTGACTGCCAATTTAATCAAGATATTGATTTTCTCATATTTCAATTCTCAGTTTTAGAGATACAAAGTTTAAATGTAAATAAATCCACATGAAAAGAAATTCTGTATTGAAAAAAAACAACAACAAATTTTCAAGCATTTTTATAAAGTAAATTTTTGCATTTCAAAAAATTTGTTTTTTTCAGTGATGCTGATTTCCTGAGTGAGGGATTGGACCACCTGGTGGTGCTGGCTGAGAACTACCACTATCTCCCCACCCTCCACGTCCTGAGATACGTGGTGCCATTGTTTGTCAACAAACCCCAGGCTCTCATTCAAAATGACAAGTAAGATCAGCTGTACAAGACAGTGCTGATTCTCAATTCATGGGTAAAGTGAAAAATGCTAATATTGAAGTGCCAGGGATAAAGGAATTAAATTTGCTTTTAGATATAAATGTATTCTGTTATATCCATTAAGTTAACAATACTGTACATTTTTACAGTCATGGGAAGTGAAAATCACATGGTTGTAATCATCAATTTATAATATTAAATGTGTTTGCTATAAGCATGTTTTACTGTACATGGATCGGATTCAGACACGTACAAACTTATAATTTTAAATTTTTAAATTTTATTGTTTAGGTTTCTTAAAGTAGTACAGTTGCTTCTCTCAGCTGACGAATCATTCATGAAATCTGCCAAAAGCCTCTGGTCACACGACTTTCCTGGGCCAGTCACAGAGAACTTTTCAAATATGATCATGGTGAGCCATAATGTATATTGTTGTGCATGACTGTAATTGCCTAATTCTGCAATTTTCAAATATATGCTTATTTATGTTTAGGATTTTGAGAAAGCAAATACCACATGATTCAGTATGTCTTACTTAAGAGATGGGTTAAATTAATTTTTACTCTGAAATTTCATATCATTTTCTTTAGGCTATTGACTCTTATTTATTTAATCTGATATTGTTGGTCTATCAATTTACATCAGCCACAGCGTCTACTTGTAAAGAAATTATAAAAATTGGGGTTTTTTGTTTTTGAAAACCGTTCATTGCAAGTATTTTTTATGTGTCTGACTTCTCCATTTCAGAATCAAGCCTCTGGTTCACATGTAAATAGAGTGGATGCTTCATATCTGATAAAGATCTTAACCCTGTGGATACAACTCTTGACAAAACAGTCCAAGTGGTATCTTGATAAGTAAGTGTGGAATGAATGCAGCAGGCATGGGTGTTGTATACTGCAATAAAGCTTACAGTTTAAAACTATTTTTTAAAATTTTTCTGTCGTTGGAACATGTGCATGTATATTATATCTCTTTTAAAAGTCAATAAAATTTTGATTGCACATAAACATTGACTTCTATGATAAAATGATTTAAGGTTGAATAAGCATTAAATTTTTTTTTTCTAAATCAATAAATTGAAAAAGTGTGAAATGCAAATATCATTAAATTAAATTCATCATCATAATTAACTACTTTAATTTATGGTTTAGAAATACTTGCTATGTCTTGGATCGCATAATTGAGATGGGCTTCAGTGTAGACAATGTGATGGTGGCTTTACAGTTAGCTTTCAAGGAGGCATTTCAAGTAAGAATAGTGAAAGCAATATTTTAGAAAGTTTTAGCAGAATACGCGTATCACTGTACTATGCAATGTATCTTCTATGAGGTTTCCAGCTTGCTTAAATTGAAAGAAATATTACAATCATAATTTAGTTATCTTGTATTTGTAAATTTTTTATACAATTATTTGCAAATCTTGATATTGACAAAGCCAATTTTAAATATTTTTTAAATATTTAAGTGCAATATTAAAAGGTACATGTTTACTATATAATTCCAAGAGGAAGGTAATTTACATTTTATGCCATTTATAAGTTTATAAATAAGTACTGATCAAGAGAAATATGTGTTAATGTTTCAGGCCCACTATAAGGAAAGTCAACAACAGGGGGGCGTGGCCTCTTTTGTCAGCTGGGTGTCCTCAGGTGTAAACTCTGTGACAGTTCTCTCCCTTACAGAGAAAATGTCCTCTCCTCATCAGTTTGGCTGGCTGTCCTACCTGATCCTCGACATTGAGATGAGGACTGAAGAGGACTCCAAACTGTGGCCTTATTTGAGGGCAGAGATCGCTAATGACCCCAAACAGGGTGTGGATCAGGCATTAAAGGTATTAACAATTATTTCTTATGTACGCACATTGATTATTATTTCAATTTTTTTTCACAAATTTGTTACAGCAAGTCTGCTATTGTGCAGTTTATACAATTATAATATTTTCTTTTTTTCATGCATGATGTTCCATTGGAAATTTGGAGCCTGAAATAAAATGACAATACTGAGTATGCTGCAAAAGGAGTTGCATGTAGAGATTGATGGAATTTGAGGAAAATTGAATTTTTCTTTGCAGAAATGTGTCATGAAACTGAAGTTGGAGTATGCCCCCAGTGTAAATAGTCTGACCATGTACCAGTGGTCCAAATTAGCTGTCGCCCTGGATATGGACCACCCTTTATTACTTCTTGTCTGGCAGAAATTCTTCTTACTCTTTCTCGGCCGCCAGGTCTCACAAGTCACGTAAGGAATATAAAAATTTATTACTTGGACGTACTATTAGTTACACATGTATTCAGAAAGAATAGAGAAAGTGGGGAAGATGTAGTAAAATTGTTATTTTTGTGTTTTTGTTTATGTGTTACGAATTTATCCTGCTGAAGACCTTTTCCAATATAATAAAATATTTGTACATTTTCTGAAAATATTAAGTTTTAATCCAATAACAATCAACATAAAATATTGTTATGGTAACAAGAAATTTAACTTAAACTACCTTTGTAAACCGTTTCTTACCCGCCATTTTTATTTACAATAACAATGCTTTGAACGGAACATATTTCATATTTCATACAGAAAATTTCAAGGCGTCATGTGATTAGCTTTTATCCAATCAGTAATCTACAAATTTGTCTGAAGCGGGATAAATGTACATGCATTTAAGTACAAGGGGAGTGGGAAGTTGTAGTAATATTGTATGTATTTGTTTTTTAGTTCAAGCTCATATTTCAAAATCCAAGGGTTTTTGGCTAGCTTTTCTTACCTTAAACAGAGTGAAAACCCTTGGCTAGCGTAAGTGGCTATATACATGTTTTTATACATAACAGGATGCAGCAGAGAGCTAGCATTGGAGAAAAGTTCTTTGAGAGCTCAAGACATTCTGGGGACCTGAAGAAAATGAAGAAAAGATTGGGAGAAACAGCTGATTTCCACATGAAATATTGCTCAGGTATTGTTATTATTTATGATATTTTCACAAGTACATTTAATTTGAATTTTTAATATATCTGTACATTGAATGTTTGGAAATTTCATTGTAAGAGTTTAAAAAAAACCGTTGGGAATTAAGAACTCATGGTCAGTTGGAGGTTAAAAATGAATAAGTGGGTAATAGGGGTATTTACTACTTTTCAGATGAGTCACAAGACAACTCAACTGGTACAAAATATGTCCCTGATAAAGATTTTCATCTGTCATTGTCAAGGTAACAATAAATCACTTCTTCAGAAGAATTTTACAAATTACACTCTATAAAGTGGTCGTTGACATCAAGGCATAAAAGTTAATTATTTCATAGTCGATGGTAAGGTTATACCTGATAACAAGAAAGACAACTGTTTTCTCAGAGATTTGTAAATTAATCCTTATTTTCAACACTAATGTCACTCTTCAAGGAACACTACTGCCTTATAATTTTTTGAATTTATCAGTTTTCAAAACTAGGGAAATAAAACCCATTTAAGTTTATGTATATAAACTATGTATCATTATAAGGTGTTTGTTGTAACCATTATTGACTGTTATCTTCAGTATATGTATGTATCATTATAAGCCAGGGTGTTTGTTATAACTATGTTACACTGTATCTACAGTATGTACCAGACTTTCCAGCTGTGGGTCCAGGAGCCGATGTTACACGATGCTAAGCTGTACCTCCCGGCCCTACCCCAGCAGTACCAGGCCGACCGCCTCCTGCAACTGTTCCAGAATCAAAAGGTAATCAAACCCTATAAAGAAACAGTTACAGCTGAACAGGGCATATGGAAATTAATGTAGAGATGTATCTAATGGTAATTGAATATGACTATGTAAATTAAAAATTTAATTATTTTTGATATTTATACATGTACTTTATTAATAATGAATTATACATATTTTATTTATTACAGTGTAAAAGATATTTTGAATTGAAAAAGTAAATTGTTCATCACAACGGTTGATTCAGATTTCGATAGTGTTGATCTATGTAGTGTCTTTTATGTTTGATACATTTGTATAGCCTCCTTTATCTCAAATGTTTTCAAATTCTCTCCCTCTATCTCTCAAAAACTTGTTTTGCTTTGCAGGAGCCCTGGATGAATTTTATGGATTTGCAGAGAATAAAACATGAAATGAAAATGTTGTCCAAATCCTGGGAAGATCATTTAACTTCAACAGAAGGTCAGAGAAGAGGGGAGTTGTCTAGTAAGCCAAATCTTACCGGTAAGTTCTCACCAAAGGGAGTTTTAAGCAATACTTAAATCATGGAAGTTAAGATTTTTTTTACCATTAAATCCATCCTCTTAATCAAATTTTGATTTCTGAAGGATGCCATTAAGGAAATTATATTTATTTTTAGAGCAAATATGAACAAATGCCAGAATGTAAGCATACATGATATGAAATTGATGCTGATATGGTATAAACAATGAAATCTTTGTTTGTTTATAGTATGCTACCACAAAATTCTACACAGGTTAATGATTAGAAAAGAGGATTAAAATTTACTTGAATGATGTGTTGTAAGACTCTGTAGAACGAGGTTTTTGTATTCATTTTTCCAGCAACAGAGAGAATTCTTGGTAGGTTAAAGCACCATGAGCCTGCGGTAGATCTACCAGCTCTACAGCCTCTGAAAGCTCTCGTTCCTGAGATTAGCACCACCATTTTAGACGAGAAATCGGCCACTCTACACTTGCTGAAAGCAGACCTTGTTAATCTGAAAGAATACGCAAAGTAATTTTTGTAGAAATTTTTTTATGTGATGGTCTTACTCACAAGTTATTTTGTTCTGAAGAATTTCATGACTTTAATTTACAAGGACCATGCCTTCTTTGAATTTTGTTTCTTCAAACGTAGGAGTTTGTGTGCATGCTCTTAAAATTATTTCCATTTCATCAAAATTATTTGATATAATTGATATATTATCAATGCAGATTCAAGTATTCATGTATAAGCTTGTTCGTCTTTTCAGATCTTTTCATTTGCGGGTTTCAAAGCACGTGGCACTAGATGATGACTTCTGTCGACTTTATCCTCAGCTGTATTACAATAAATCTAAACAGGTACATTATTTATAATAAAAGCTATTTTCTTCTGTAAAATATCTGAGGATTAAAGTTATTTCCCTTTATGCAATACACATACAAGTAAGTAACTTAATGAATTTTGTGTATTGCACTATGTTAATCTTGATATGATTAATTTCAAAATCACGAAGTCAATTAAAAATGTTACATGCTCATAGTAGAGGATGTTTGAGAAGCATTGAATACTTACATTTTCAATAAATACATGTGTAAAAAAAAATTGCAAGGTCAAAGTTACAATTTAAAAATATCAACCCTCTTCACAAATGTTCAAATCCTGCTGTGGTCAACCTTGATGTAAGTTTCAGTTTACTGGGGCATTTAGATTCTAGAATGTTATGCAAATCATCAGTAACCTTTGATAAAGCCATCTGAAAATTAGAATAATTTGAAATAATGTTTATAAATATTAGTATTTTGGGCTTTAAAAAATTCAATCAATTTTGATTTTAAGGTGCAAGAGAAAGCCTGTGATGAAATCATACAGAGACAGACAGATGAGAATAGAGCCGAGTATAAACAGCTGATGATTGAGGGGTTATCTCCCCCTCCTCTCAGTGTCTGTATCGCAGCTGTACATGTGGAAAATGGCATCACGTAAGTAAACAAGTACAGAGGGAGTTGACTTAAAAGCTTACACAGTGTTTATTCAGGAATATTTTGCTTAGTTTACATGAAAAGCACTAAATAAGTGATTGACAAGCTTTTATTTAAAAAAAAAATTGTTTAGATAAACAAATTGTCAATATCTGTGATTTCATACATGTGATATGTACCGGCGGTACAGAAAATGTCAGGTATTTTCGACCCCATTCACGGGCTCAAGGCGGTACACCAAAATTCACAGGAAATGAAAATGTGTACCGTTTTTTGTAATGTTTACCGGAAACCGCCATTTTTCTTTCATTCCCGCTCGCGCAACACCGGAAATCTTGAACTATGCGTGACTTACTGCGATTGATTAATGTAAACAAAACATCATGAACGAAGGTGTGAAATATTCCCATGATAATTACATCGTGATTAGGAGGTATCAAAGCGTTTTGTTTGGCTTATTGCTTTTTAATAGGACCATTATCAAGGATTTTTTAAACTGTTATAATTTAATAATTTAATCTATTAAAACTAAAGACATTTCAAAGAGAAAACGTCATTCAGAGAAATCAGAGACACTTTGTGACAGCAAAACGAAATTTAATATTAAAAGTCCATTATTTGATTAGGCATACGTATTGTCTGTTCAAACACAGATTAAGAGAAATGTCTTTAAGTACGTACAATATAAAAATTGCAGATGAATGGAGACGACCAGACTCGTACAAAAAACTGTTTTTAAACACTGTACACTACTTTTTACTAAGTTCAGCATTAAACAGTTTATTGCCGAAATTCAAAATTCTTCAAGATCTTGAAATGAATAATAAATCATAATACATGTTATGCAGTGGTGCACCTGTACATTGATTTGAAATTTATCATTCAAAAATAAACACCTTACATTGTTTTTTGGTTGATATTTTGTAGTTTTTTTTTAGTTTTTTTTAAAAAAAATTCCAGTATTTTTAAGGCTGCTGTACAGTATTTGGGTTTAGAAATTATCACATGTATGTGATTTCCCATCATGTATGAAATACTGCATTGCTCAAATTCAATGATATATTTATAACAGTGTTATCTGTATATTTTTAGCATGTTGGTCAAGCTGGCCAGAATGACCACAGATGACCTGAGAGCTGCTTACTACACGGACCTAGCCTGTACGCTGTTCTTCCTCTTGGCTGAAATGATTAACGATGACATCGAGTTCTACCCTCCTACCAGACAGTTCTACACTGCCTGTATTGACATGCTGGGCAAGGTGGGTTCTGTGCATCAAACTTTAAGATTTTTATGCCATAAAATATATTTGATGTAATGTTGAGAGATTCTTGAAATGGATTATTGATTGCACTATGTCACAAATCAGGAAAATTTGATGTGTGTATTCCACATGAAAATTCTTTTATTAAATATTATACAAAATTCATTAAAGAATTACAAGCATCTAGCATTCTTAAATCTGATAAATAAATGTGCACATTTGTATGAATTTATGCATATATTATATGTATTGAGGAGATGTTCATGAATTTATGCACATGTATTTAGCATATTTTGCATGAAGTTATGCACATGTATAATGTAATTTTTTTCAGGAGTTCATTGAGAAAGATCCCTCCCAGACTGAGATAGTTCTACAGTTTTCTCTGAATTCCCCCGCCATGTCAGGTCTGATGTCGCCTCACTTTGTCCCCATCAACAACCCCCACACCTACGTCACCATGTACGAGCGACTCGTTCAAATACTGCAGCAGCAGAATCCAGACCTCGTCTTCATGCTTCTCACAAAGGTAAGAAGTTTGATCCATCTTGAATCATTGCTTTCACCCTTTGTGATTCATACATTTTGTATTTCTGTATGTTTGAAATTGTTGAATACCAGAAATGTACTGAACCAGGTGCTTTATTTGAGTAAAACTTGGATATCATACACACTTTGACTTCCCTGTCATGTTCAAGACATTGAGTACTTATTTATTTATTATCTTTAGTTTGAGGGACTTTGTCATTTATTGTGATGTGTGCTGTATATACCATATATACTCGCCTATAAGTCGGTTGTATTTTTTAAGCTTATGTTAGAAAGAATGACTTTCTTAAATATCAATCTTTTGATATCTCGCCTATAAGTTGGACATAGAGTTTTGGACCAAAGTTAAACTCCCAAAAATCCGACTTATATGTGAGTATATATGGTGGGCTACAAATAAAATGCAATTTGACAGTACAATTAAGGATTTTCTAGTAACTACTGGTACATGTCCCTTAAGAAGGTATCTTTTTCCCTTGTTTCAGTTTGAGATTGCCCAGTGGCTACAGACAAGGTCTCCAGCTCCCATTGAAGTCAAGAGATTCGTAGACATTCTGGCCTCAGGACTCTACAGCTGTGGGGTGGATCCAGATACTAAACATGGCATGGTATTTGAGGTAAAATGTCTCTAGTCATAAAATGCCTACTTAGACCTTACATTCTTGTGTAAGCATTCACTAAGTGTTTCTTTCTCAAAATGATTTTAGTAAAAGAGAAATTTACTTTAATAAAGCAAGTTACGGAAATTGGTTTTAAAAATATGTTATTGCCTGAATTAACCTTTTTCGTAAATGCCTCTTTATGAGACATATTATTTTGACATTTCTAAATATTTTTAAAATTAATATTTCAGATATATTGCAAGCATCTTAGGGCAGTCCTGAGACATAATTTCCCACAAAATCTGAATTATGTTCTGAACATAATCCTTACAGGTAATCTTAAATATGAAACTTGCCTTGTTCATTCCAGATATAAAAAGAGGTTTTCTAAATGAATATATATATTAGTGACTCATGATCATGAATTTGAATACTTTCAGGTACAGCAAAACAACAGATACATCCAAAATGCTGGCAGATTTTACAGGAGTACTGTTTTTATGGTAGTGGGACTGATGTCTCCTCCAGACGGACTGATGTTGGCTCTGACATGTCTACAGAACAGGTGAAGTTTTGATGAAGGCTCTTTACTTTAACTGTTTCATTCATTTTCTCATTTCATATAGTTCAAGGAAAAGTCAGTGTTTGTAATTAAAAATATAAAAAGAGCATCTTCAAGTTAAACTTGATTTTTTTTTTAAATTCTTTTGTAAATGAATGAAATATTATTGATAACAATAATATATTAACCAAAACTTTTCTAATGCAACAAATCTCTGCAGAGTTAGCAGGATGGAAAAAAATCCCTTTTATGCCCTTTTTATCATAATTTTACAAAAGAGTAAGATTTTTTTTGGCATAAATATTTCCCACTTTGCAGTCCAAACTTTGTGTCTGACATTATCACAATTACTTCTTATGTTTTTTAAAATTTTTTCGCTGACACAGACGAAGCATTGCCTATCGACTATCGGCTGTTTCTTCCTCCAGTTGCGGACTTCTTCCTCCGAGTTCGGATCATTTGGCCTTTATCCCAGCACCACCCTGTACGTGTCACACATCACTCAGCTGATACAGGATCTGATGATCTGCTTCATAAACAAAGTCCTGCCCACTCTTCAGGAGACCAACCCAGCTCAGGGTAAGGATCTAAATTGTAGTAGATTCGTTTTATTCATTAGTTTATGTCATTGAAATATTGCTTTTTTGAAGTGATAAACACATTACTATAAACCAGAAAGTTTTCAGCATTTAACAATCATTATGTTTATTGTATTCTTTCAAACTGATTGTTAATTTCTAAAAATATTGCCTTCTTTAAACTTTAGACCCCCCCCCCCCCATAAAAAAAATAATTTAAAAAAAATCTGCAGAAGAAGAGAAATAACATCTGAGAAGTTAAAAGCACTTCTGGATTTATTTTTCAGTTTTAGATGTAATATGGCAGACACACATCATGGCATTCGCTGCCTGGATTCAGCCATTAGAAACGGAGACTTCCCCTCTGTTGCCATGGATACAAGCTGATAGTGAGGCTGGGAAGAAAATGGTGGAAGCCTTTGTTTTTGTTACTCAGTACCTTCATCAGGCATTCATTAGTGAGTTTTTAGCTCTTCTGAGCCAAAGACTCAAAGAGCTAATGCTATGGCCATTTGTGCGTCGTGCGGTGTGCGTTAACTTTTTAGAATATTGGCCATAACTTAAGAACCCCTTGGCCAATTATTGTCAAATTTGTCACAGGGTATCCTTGGCCCCAGGGCTACCATTTATACTAAAACTAGGGGTTGGACCCTAAAACAAGGAGAGATAATCACGAAAATAAAACCAAAAGTACTGGTTGCTAAAAAATCTTCTTCTCCAGAACCACCTGGCAGATTTTCACCAAAGTTACATACAAGGGTCAGGATATGTTGAAGATTAAAAATTGTTCAAGGCATGACCCTGGGGCAAAGGGCGTGGTCTCAAGGTCACTTTAAAGTTGACCAAAATTTACACTTATTATAAACATTGATATTTTGCTTACTATAAAGACTAGGATCATCAAATCTTGTAAGTTGATGCATCTCAGGACTTGACATCATGTCAGTGCAAAAGTAGGTCATGGTGACCTACTTTTTAAATTTTACGGGCTTTTGTTTTCAAATTGATTTGGAGGCATATTTTGGACACTTTAAGGCCTATGATCATAAAACTTTGTCAGTTGGTGAATCTTGGGTCCACAAAAAACAACAACTTAAAAGTAGGTCATCGTGACCTACTTTTTGAACTTTATGGCTAATCTTTTCTAAAACATTTAATCCCATTATTTCAGACACCGAGAGGTTTAGAATCACCGAATCTTGTAAGTTGATGCATCTTGGGGCTTTAAAACATAATTATCAAAAAGTAGGTCACTGTGACCTACTTTTTGAACTTTGCAGGCATTTGTTTTCAAATTGTTTAAAAGGCATATTTTGAATACTATTAGACCAATGATCATCAAATTTTGTCAGTTGATGCATCTTTGGTCTTCAGAAAATGTCGACCAAAAAGTAGGTCACTGTGACCTACTTTCAACATTTTATGGCTAGATTTAAGTATCTCGGATACTAATTGGCTTAGAATCATCAAAATTTGTCAGTTGATGCATCTTGGGTTTTCGGAGATTAACGACCAAAAAGTAGGTCATTGTGACCTACTTTTGACATTTTATATCTATATTTAAGTATCTCAGGTACTTGTTGGCTTAGAATCATCAAACTTTATTAGTAGATGCATCTTGGGTTTTCGGAGAATGTTGACCAAAAAGTAGGTCACGGTGACCTACTTTTGACATTTTTATGGCTAGTTTTATGTATTTTAGGTACTATTTGGTTTAGAATCATCAAACTTTGTCATTTGATGCATCTTAGGTTTCGGAGAATGTCCACCAAAAAGTAGGTCACGATGACCTACTTTTGACATTTGATGGCTATATTTAGGTATTTCAGGTACTTATTGGTTTAGAATCATCAAACTTTGTTATTTGATGCATCTTGGGTTCTCGGAGAATGATGATAAAAAAATAGGTCACTGTGACCCACTTTTAAATATCTCAAGTACTTATTGGCTTAGAATCATCAAACTTTGTCAATTAATGCATCTTGTGTCCTCAGGAAATTTCAATCAAAAAGTAAGTCACCATGACCTACTTTTAGTATTTTATAGTTACATTTAAATATCTTCAGCCCTAACTGGCTAAGAATCATCAAACTTTGTCAGTTGTTGCATCTTAGGTCTTAGGATAGATTGTATAATTTATCAGAAGAGTGATTCAAGGCCCTTGGGCCTCTTGTATAGAGACAGAATAAAATGGAACCTTTATGAAGATTGAATTTTTTTTGCTTATTTAATCATAATATTATAAAAAAAAAGTTAATAACAGAGAATGTCTATGTACAGTTAAGATATTTTCTTAGCAAGAGGAAAAGATTATGAGTTCACTGTTTTACAAAACGTTTTTTTCATACAAAAAATTTTTTATAAATAATTGTGTACGTACATAGATTGTTTTCCAGTTACAAAAAATTGATAGTCATGAATGGATTTAAACTGATGATTCATAAATGAATTCAAAATTGTTATCAATAATAGTTTTGTGAGGATTACATTATGAAAGATTGATGACACAGATATTTCTTTTATACGTATAGATATAATACCACCATACCAGTCCAATCCCCTGATAAGGGTGTGGCTGTATTTCTGTGACGTGTTATGTGGTAAACAAGTCCCAGCACATGTGACCAATGTATACAACCAAGAGTTCTCAGAACTGCCGTGGGAAACTCTTAAACCAAACACTCAGGTCCTGGACTCAATGATGCAGGTAGGTATTCATGAATGTAACTGCTACAATACCAAATTTCCCTCATAATTAACCCTTTCACAGTAACTACGGTAAAACTCTTTTTAGGGCAAATTATTCAATAGAATATATCATATGTAGCAGTGCCACAGTTTTTGAGAAACAGTTTATACCAGTAAATAGTCATTTGGCTAAGCATAAAAGAAAATAGAATTAAATTCTAATGCAATAGTTTTGTAAAACACTTTTTTATTGGCTAATGCACTGATGTTTGAAGCAGTAAAACGAGCATTAACGAGCGTGAAAGCTTTATCATTGTGACGTCATAATAGAGCGACGCAAAAACACAATGCTCCGTGACGTATTTTATGTAACAAAATTCATCAAAATAAGACGTAAACAACAAACAAAATGCATGGATTGCATTAGAATGGAAATAACTAATCTTCTAATTTGGTATTTGCGACCGTTAATGCTGATTTAACGGTCACAAACATCCGTTTTACCGGCTCCGCTTACGCGTCGCCGGTAAAACTCAGTTTGCGACCGTTAAATCAGCATTAACGGTCGCAAATACCAAATTAGAAGATAGTTATTCCCTAATTGACAGAATATTGATGAATTTCCTCAGCAAATTTTTGAAAAATTGTCAACTTTTAGCAACTTCAAATTAGGTACTGAATACATTTTTCCTATCATTACTTAGCTGAAGGACCAGAACTGCCCTGAGAGTTTTGACCTTTTGGCCTCTGTCGTGTGTCGCCTGGACTGGACAGAGATATTGTCTTTCTACAGTCAGTGTTACGGAGGGCAGGGAACCAGTCGAGTCCTGGCCTGTGTTCTCCTTCTGCTGGTACAGTGTTACGGGGACCAGAAACATGTTGAGGTAAATATCAAATTCTTTACAGAACTATAGATTGAGAATAGACTTTGCTATGTCTCGAAAACCTCTAAATGGTCCAATATAAGTTACTTTGTATGCTGATTTATTCCATCCTTGTTTATTAACGATGAATTCTTAATATTGAATCACCATTAAGGTAAATGTGCTTTTTGTAAAGTTTAAAGAAAAAAACCTAAACTTTAATGACTAATTATTACTAACAGTGCTAAAGAACATGAATCATTTAAAATTAATAATCTCTTTTATCCCAGATTCCAGACTTAGCTCAGAAGACTCTCACAGCGGAGACTTTTGATTGGTCAACTTTGACCTCTGACCACTACAGACATGCCAGTAATTGGTTCTTACAGACATGTGATCCCCGATGTGTTTTAGCAGAGAGGTCTGCCTCTTCTGCACTGGGTTTAAGGTAAGAAATCCTTAAATTCTCCTTTGTCCTTTGCAGGATTTGATCATGTGACCAACCCACTTCAATTCCCAATGAAGTTTCAACTTGTATTTATTTCTTTAAAAAAGACAGAGCAATTGCTACTACTTGAGTTGAGATTGTTGTAATATCACATTTAACTTCTTTTTGATACCTGTTAATATCAAGCATTACTTATTGTGGTAACATAGATAGCATAAAATTTTTCAAATGATCTTTTTGCGCTATAACTTTAGGTTGTTGAAGGCAGCATCGGGGTTCAATGTTCAGTCATCCATGACTTGGACCTCTGACCTTTCAGTTAAGCGTCAGTGTTACGTACACAGCGTGGTTCAGCTGATGTGTCAGTGTACGTTTGAAGTAGATGTCAACCTGGACACCATTTCTATGATTCTTATGAATCTGTTGACAGAGGTGGAAACAGTCACCAGTGCAAGTAAGAAAACTGTCTAGTATCTACTATCTACACTTCTCAGATTATATATTATTTGTTATCCCCTTGCAAGTTAAGGACATGTTAATGGCACTATGCAAAAATTAGGTCCATATCAGGTCAAATCCATGTCAAATAGCCAAGATTTTGAACCACTAAACATTCATTTGAAAAATAATTCTTTCAATGTTCAGAGGTGAGTGGCACTTTTCATACAGGATTTGGTAAAACAGGAGCAATTCTTTTCTAATTTTAGTAACGGACATTCGACTACAGGAAGAAGAGAGTCTGGACTTGGTGAAGGAGATATTTGCCCTTCTGAATAACTGTAATCCCGAAAATAATTCTGTGTCTGTTGTCATGACAACCATCATCCAATGGCTGCAGTCCTCGCCGCGGAGCATTCTTCTGATGCCATGTGTGAGGGTGGCCTCAAGGTGTCTGGCTTCTCACAAACATATTGTCATCATCGTAGAGGAGTGCATACATGTGTATTTTAAAGGAGGTATGATATCTGTGTACTCCTAATGTAAGATGGTTTAAAAACAGACATCATATGTTAATCTTGGTGAATGCAACATATTTACATTATCTTTAAAAAAATTTATGAATATTTGCATTAAAATAATGTTTAGCATGATAAAATTGAAAAAATTCAAAAGAAGTGATTTTGATAGTTCTCAATCACATATTTCTTGCAAAATATTTTGCTTACAGATATGAATTTCAGCTTATCATTAAAGTAAATTATTTTTTCATAATGATATGAACATTATATCTTTAGGCCTGGATCAAATACCAGGAGGGGGTTGGGACCACGTTTTAGCGGCCATGCAGATCCCTGATCTCAATATTGAGGATTTCCTGAGAACTGCTCTAGAGGAGGGGACACATTTACTACTGTTCGGATACATTGTACAGAAGCTTCCTCTGTGCCAGCAGTTAACAGATGAACAAGTTCTGATTGGTCAGCTCCTGAACTGGATCACTCAGGCCAAACCAGTGTATGTATCCTGCATTTTGAAAAAATTTCAATCTGATTTTAATTCTCGTAACTTTAAAGGAGGTGACTTGACTATAAATGTTAATGTAAAGTAAAACCCATTTCTAGTAAACAATCTTATAATAAATAGACTCTTACTGCAGAGTGTTTTTCATTCCCCATGACTTTAAAAATATAATTATTTGTTAACATAATGGTTATAATAGTTAACCTTACAACATAGCAAAATCATTCATCCCAGCACTTTGTTATAAGCGTGTTTTAATGTTCACATATTTCTGACTGTATAACAGCACACTGAAGTTTTTTTGGAGAGAAATTTAAACATTGCTCCATACTTTCTTATATTTTCCAGCCAGGAAAATGAAAGCAAGTTACTCTTGCTGTGGTTTAAGACTCTGGAGCTAATACTGAGACAGTTGGACTATGGATGTAGTCACACTACGATAATCAAAATGTTGTCTTCCCTGGTGACCTCTCTGCACTTATTTGGTGAAGACAGGGCAAGCAGTGGCTTGCTTGGTGCTATAGGACTTGGAAAACGTTCCAGTCTCTCTCCTGTGTAAGTAACTTGTGTAAATATTTACATGCATGAAATAAATTTTTGTACATTTAAGAAATTCTTACTGTAGAAGCACAAATTTTCATGGGGATAACATTTTGTTGATTTGTTATCAAAAAAGGATTTGGGTGCATTCAATTCTGTTGTTTTGAAGGTATTCCTACTCAAAATATGGTCATAAAAATTTTCGTGGGGGATTAAAATTAATTGATAATATATTGTTAACAACGTAATAAACATGATGCTGTGGAATCATTAATGTTCTCGGGGGACCAATGTTCGTGGATTTTGTGGGTCACCCTTATCCACAAATTTACATCCTCAAGAACGTTTATTTTTTTCAACATATTTATTTATGGAATCATGCATATACAAGTTACCCACGACCCTCACAAATTAAAGTGATTCCACAGTAAACAAAATTCAAACCTCAAAGAATATTATAAATGCTTTTATTAATACCTCTACTGTAATTACTTTATATAAAATTAATACCATAAAACTGTCTATTGCCCCAAGAAGAGACAATTGCCCTAATCTGAGGACTACTCCCTTGAAAATCGGAGCTACTCCCTGGGACTATCCCTCATGAATATTTATCAGTAATTTTAACCAATCAAAGTGTTCAGTGGGCGGAGCGTTCAAGGAATCTCGAGTCTGTGACGTCAGGTTATTAACAATGTAACTATGACGTCAAAACATTTCGAGATGCGATGTCAAAATTATACTTGGATACGAAGACAATGATAATTCTTCGAAATGTCGGTGAAAATACTTTTTAAAAATAATTTAATTATTTTAAGGTGCTACTTATCATATGATATGTTAAACCACATACATTTGTAATTATGCCTCTACAGTGTTTATTTTTAAATGTCGGAATATCTGATAAAAAAAAAATAAATCGCCTATGATTGTTTCGGTGTAATAAAACCTCGAGAAATAGCAAATTTATCGGCAGTAAACTAAATCGCCGCCTTTTATAATACCCATTCCATAACTGTATCATAATATTATAGATAAGTTAGAATGTGTAAGTAAATTAATTATAGATGGAGATAAATTGTATGAAATATATGTTGCAGATTTCGTGTATCATGTCGAGCCTTGGCAGCCATGATAACTCTACAGGTCTATGATGAAATGAGACTTCGTTTGCAAGCAGGACAGTCATTGGCTAACAATGGAGCAACTAAACAGGAAGTGGGAGCTCTTCTGTCTATGAAGACAAATAAAGCATACCAGTCCTATAAGAATGAAATTGAAATATTGTGTGATTTGGTTCAGAACGAAAACTATGGATTACGACAGACATTAAATTTAATCCACCAATTATCTCAGATGTTTTACAGAGAAAAGGAATATTTATCTGTAATACATACATTTGACAAGTAAATATTTGTAAATATTTTTCACCTCAAAGTCTTTATTTTTTTTTGTTTTTCTTATATTTCATTTAGTTTGATGTTCTTTTGCTTATGTTTATGATATATAGCATAATGACTAGTATAAGGACCATTGTATAATGTGATTATTATGATATATGGCTAATATGTAATTTAAATTTGTAATTCAAAATAAAAATGTGATATTGAAGCATTAATTATCAGTATGGTGATATCAGTTGCAAATGAAGATTAAATGGCAGGGTTGTTATTATTATTTTTTTGTATGTATGTGCATTTAATTTTACATATATTTAAGAAATGGGAGACAAAAGATTTTGTTCAGTTAAGAAGAAAATACAAACTAATATCTTGATTTATGAGCTGCATTTGGACAATTTACTTAAAAAATATAAAGTTTAAAGGAACTTTAAAAAAATATTAATGTATAAGTAAATGTGGGTAATCTTGCCTTTGTCAGAGTGTTAACTTTCTTAAATGACATTTGCAGCAAGTCCTATTTCTCAATATTTATAATATTTTATTTATTTGATATCAGTATACAATTTTTGGATGTAGTCAGCTGAGAAAAAGATAAATTACATGTATGTAATTGGAACAATAAAATTATTGTAACCATCAATAAAGTTTTTGTATTGCATAACTAGAGTTGATATATAATTCATCTGCTCATAGCATGTATAGCTTAGAAGTGTGATGCATAATTTTTTTCATTACATAACCCCAAAAATACGTATATAAACAAAATGTTCAGCTTTTTTTCCCACCAGAATTTGGTTTTGTAAGTTAAAAGATGTTGAATTTTTTTTTTATTTCACAGTGCTTAAATGATCTCAAAAAAAAAACATTAAAAAAATCTTCTTCTTTACTCCTGGACATCAAGCACTCAAACTGTTGACATGATTGTAATCAGCATTGAGTTCTCTACCAAAATCGTGAAATTTATGGCCCCAGGGTCAGGGGTTCTGGTGTTAGGGCGGGGCTCCATAGATCATATAGTAAAAGTGCATTATTTCTTTGAAAATCTTCATCTCTGCAACTGGGTATTAAATAAATTAAGTAAGTAAATAGTTATGATGACCAAGAGTGCTTCTTCAAAAATTGTGAATTTCATGGCCCCTGGGTCATTGGTTCTGGTGTTAGGGCAGGGCTCTATTGATTATATAGTGGAAATACATTAATTCTTTGAAAATCTCCTCCTCTGCTCCTGGGCTAACAGTACATAGTCTGAAGATGAATGTTTCGAAATCTGCTCTGTGGTATTAATCAACCATTTATGATGAAATGAAATTCATGGTATTATGATAACATATCCAAAATTTGAAACGTGTGGCCCCAGGGTCAGTGGTTCCTATGTGGTGGGGTGCACGACTGGTACAGTGGAAATGCATTTTCTCTTTGTTACTCTGATCTAACTCTGGGTATTAAGTAACTAGAGTAAGCATTCAAAGGGTATGATTATGATAAGCAATTGTGCCTCTTTCAAAATTGTGAATTTCATTGCATCTAGTTTAAAACACGAACCAATTTCAATTTTTGGAAAGTTGTTTCATGATACTCAGGTAACCTATAAGGCCCTTGGGCCTCTTGTTTTAACTTCTCAGTGCTTAAACGATCTCCTTAAAGTTTTATTTACAAAAAAGCTCATGCGAGTTAAGTTCTCTTTAATCAAAAAAAAAAACAACAAACAAAACAAAGAAGTGTGTTGTTTCCCTCATGGCTTTTTCAAATTTAAAATTCATGTCGGATATACCTCTGTGATTTATGCTGATCAATGTGTTCAGCAAGATTTTGTTTGAGTGTGTAGTTTATTTTGTAGTGTTCCCTGTTTGAAATATTTTTGAGTTTTTGTTGTGAAAAGTGATTGCTGGTGTAAAAATTCTTGTATAAATATACATGTATCTTGTTTTGTTATTCCCCTAAAGAATAAACTATGAAGTAATATAACCATTTTGTTGTTAGTAACATTTTAATTTATTTTGATCGCATTCAGGTTCATTTGAACTGTTTTTAGCTCACCTTAACCGAAGGCTCAATTTAAGTGAGCTTTTCTGATCAAAGTCCGTTGTCTGTCATCGTTGTCGTCGTCGTTGTTGTTGTTGTCATTGTTAACTTTTCACATTTTCATCTTCTTCTCAATGTTTGTTCAAATCATGACCCCGAGGGATAGGACAGGGACATTAGGGGGGTCAAAGTTTAACAGGAATACATAGGGAAAATCTTTAAAATTCTTCTCAAGAACCAGTGGGCCAGGAAAGATAAAACTCATGCGAAAGCATTCTCTGGTAGTGTAGATTAAAATTGTTCAAATCATGGCCCCCAGGGGTAGGGAGGGCCATTATGGGGGTTAAAGTTTAACATAGGAATGTATGGGGGAAAATCTTTAAAATTATTTTTAGCTCACCTGAGCCGAAGGCTCAAGTGAGCTTTTCTGATCAAAATTTGTCCGTTGTCTGTCGTCGTTGTTGTCGTCGTAAACTTTTCACATTTTCATCTTCTTCTCTAGAACCACTGGGCCAATTTCAACCAAACTTGGAACAAAGTATCCTTGTGTGAAGGGGATTCAAGATTATTTAAATGAGGGGCCACGCCCTCTTCCAAGGGGAGATAATTATGAATTAGTGAAAAATTAATAGCATTTTTAAAAAATCTTCTTCTCAAGAACTACTGGGCCAGGAAAGATGAAACTCATATGGAATCATCCTCAGGTAGTGTAGATTGAAATTTGTTCAAATCATGACCCCCGGGGGTAGGGTGGGGCCAAAATGGCTGATCAAAGTTTTACATAGGAATATAAAGGAAAAATCTTCTTAAGAACCACTGGGCCAGGAAAGATGAAACTCATGTGGAATCATCCTCAGGTAGTGTAGATTGAAGTTAGTTCAAATCATGACCCCCGGGGGTAGGGTGGGGCCAAAATGGCCGATGAAAGTTTTACATAAGAATATATAGGAAAAATCTTTAAAAATCTTCTTCTCAAGAACCACTGGGCCAGGAAAGATGAAACTCATGTGGAATCATCCTGTTTTAGTGTAGATTTGTTTGTTTTTTCAAACCCCCGGGGGTAGGGTGGGGCCAAAATGGCCGATCAAAGTTTTACATAGGAATTATTATAATATAGGAAAAATCTTTAAAAATCTTATCTCAAGAACCACTGAAAGTTGAAACTCATGTGGAATCATCCTCAGGTAGTGTAGATTGAAGGAGTTCAAATCATGACCCCCGGGGGTAGGGTGGGGCCAAAACGATCAAAGTTTTACATAGGTCAATATATAGGAAAAATCTTTAAAAATCTTCTTCTCAAGAACCACTGGGCCAGGAAAGATGAAACTCATGTGGAATCATCCTCAGGTAGTGTAGATTGAAGTTTGTTCAAATCAAGACCCCCGGGTTAGGGTGGGGCCAAAATGGCCGATCAAAGTTTTACATAGGAATATATAGGAAAAATCTTTAAAAATCTTCTTCTCAAGAACCACTGGGCCAGGAAAGAATGAAATTCATGTGGAATCATCCTCAGGTAGTGTAGATTGAAGTTAGTAAAATCAAATCAATGCCAAAATGGCCACAAAGTTTTACATAGGAATATATAGGAAAAATCTTTAAAAAATCTTCTTCTCAAGAACCACTGGGCCAGGAAAGATGAAACTCATGTGGAATCATCTCAGGTAGTGTAGATTGAAGTTTGTTCAAATCAAGACCCACGGGTTAGGGTGGGGCCGAAATGGCTGATCAAAGTTTTACATAGGAATATATAGGGAAACCTTTTAAAAATCTTCTTTTCAAGTACTTTAAAGCCATGCTTAGTGATATTTATAGGGAATCATCTTAGGTAGTGTAAATTCAAGTTTGTTAAAATTATGACCCCCTTGGGGGGTTAAAATTCATGCCCCCTCCCCCCTCAGTAAACTTTCAGTTCTGATCTGATATGTGCTTTTTCCTAGCCAATTGCTCAGGTGAGCGATGTGGCCCCTGGGCCTCTTGTTTTCAAGGAAAGATAAAACTCATGCGAAAGCATCATCTGGTAGATGTGTAGGTTCAAGTTTGTTCAAATCATGACCCCCAGGGGTAGGGTTGGGCCAAGATAAGGAGTCAAAGTTTAACAAAGGAATGTATAGGGAAAATCTTTAAAATTTTTCTTCTCAAGAGCCACTTGGCTAGGAAAGATAAAACTCATGTGAAAATATCCATTGGTAGAGTAAATTCAAGTTTCTTCAAATCTTGACCCCCAGGGGTAGGGTGGGGCCATTATGGGGGGGGGCAGGGTCCCATAGGGAAGTTTAACATATGGATACATAGGGATAATCTTTAAAATTCTTCTTCTCAAAAACCACTGGGCTAGGAAAGATGAACACATGTGGAAGCATCCTCTGGTAGTATAGGTTGAAGTTTATGCAAATCATGACCTCTAGGGCTAGGATTGGGCCACAGTGCATTTCAGGATTTTAATACTAAACTGATTTGTGCTTTTTACCTAGCCACAGTACTAAGGTGCGTGATGTGGCCCCTGGGCCTCTTGTTATAGTAAACGTATTAAAAAAGGTAAAGCTGTTGTTGACATGATGATGAAAGGACGATTCAGTAGAATGGAAATAGCGTAATAGGGCAACCAAGCACTTTTTTCTACAATTCAAATAAATTACTCAATATTTATGTCCACTGTATATGAACACATTTAATTTATTTCTTATTCATGAAAAGCATTTTCATTTAACATTACTTTAATGCTGCTTATTAGTCATCTGAATGCATAGATTTCTAGTGCAGAGGCTTTCCATCAATAAAACATGCAATGACATATATATCAGTTATACAATATCTAAGATTCTCAAAAATTTTTTAAGTCACTTGCATACAGCTGTGTTGCTACTGTTGCAGCCCCATCAACGGCCTCAGCCAAAGCTATCCCTGTGTTTCGATCACCAGCTCGGTACACTCTCAGGAGGGGGGGGGGTCCACATTGACGATCAGTTTGCGCATTGGTGGTGGGTATCCAGCTGCTAGTCTCTCTCTTATTCAAACCCAGCATCTTTTGGACTGCTGCTCACCTGCTTCTCCATGTCACCCCTAGCCCAGGCAACATCCTCTTCTGTGCTGGGAAGCCTCTTCATTCAACCTCTTCTGGATATTTCCTGGTTTGCCATCCTTTCTCCCAAAATTCTCCCAACATTCTGCAAGCAATGTCACATTCTGCTTTCATGGCCTTCATCGAATCTTCCTTCCCAGGAACTTTCAGCTCTATGACAACGATATTTTTTGTACTTAATGACCACAGTACCATATCAGGCCTGAGATTAGTTGGAATTATCTCTGATTTATGTCAGTTTTTTAGCTCACCTGAGCCGAAGGCTCAAGTGAGCTTTTCTGATCACATTTTGTCCGTCGTCCGTCCGTCTGTAAACTTTTCACATTTTCGACTTCTCAAGAACCAATAGGCCAATTTTAACCAAACTTAGTACAAAGCATCCTTGGGTGTAGGGGAGATTAAATTGTTAAAATGAAGGGCCAAGTCCCCTTACAAAATATAATCAAGAAAAGATAAAAATAGGGTGGGGACTAAAAAATCTTCTTCTCAAGAACCACTGGGCCAGGAAAGCTGAAACTTATGTGGAAGCATCCTTGGGTAGTTAGCTATTAAATTGTTAAAATCATGACCCCCGGGGGTAGGGCGGGGCCACAATAGGGAATCCAAGTTTTACATAGAAATATATAGAACAAATCTTTAAAAATCTTCTTCTCAAGAACCACTGGACCAGGAAAGCTGAAACTTATGTGGAAGCATCCTTGGGTAGTGTAGATATTAAATTGTTAAAATTATGACCCCCGGGGGTAGGGTGGGGCACAATAGGGAATCCAAGTTTTACATTGAAATATGTAGAACAAATCTTTAAAAATCTTCTTCTCAAGAACCACTGGGCCTGCAAAGCTGAAACTTATGTGGAAGCATCCTTGGGTAGTGAACATATTAAATTGTTAAAATCATGACCCCCGGGGGTAGGGCGGGGCCACAATAGGGAATCCAAGTTTTACATAGAAATATATAGAACAAATCTTTAAAAATCTTCTTCTCAAGAACCACAAGACCTGGAAAGCTTAAACTTATGTGGAAGCATCCTTGGGTAGTGTAGATATTAAATTGTTAAAATCATGACCCCCCCCCCCCAGGGTAGGGCGGGGCCACAATAGGGAATCCAAGTTTTACATAGATCATATCTTTAAAAACCTTCTTCTCAAAAACCACTGGGCCAGGAAAGCTGAAACTTATGTGGAAACATCTTGGGGTAGTGTAGAATCTAAAGTTTTAAAATCATAAAAGGGAATTTTAAGGGGGAAGTGGGGCATGATAGGTATAGCAAGAGGGGGAATCTGGTAAAGAACTGCATCACCCAAGTTACTCAGGTGAGCGATGTGGCCCATGGGCCTCTTGTTTCTTTTACCTAAACCCACAGCCAGCTTCCATTCGTCGTCTGCCAGGTTAAGTATTCCAGAAGTCTTTTCTCTTCTTATCTGTTTCACCTTATTTTACAATGCAAATTTGTGGATGTTTCACTGTTGTCGGTTTGCTTTTATTCTTCCGCTCTTTCTCCATAGTGTCTGTCATCTTTTGTACAATATAATTAAGACTTCATGTGTATCTTCACTGTGAAAATGCCACCTGGCAGCAGGATAGAATGTGCTGTAGGGATCCTTTTTCCAAAAAAAAACTTCAAGCTCCAAACAGCTCTTTTTTAAATTTAAAACAACTCCATATCATTATTCGTAGGGAAAGTAGTCCCGGAAAATTGACACTGTATGGAGTTTGGGACATTCTAGAAAGAATATGACCTAAAGGCTGTCTCTATGCACCGAGTTGAAAGCCACAAAACCACAAAATGAATGGTAGCATTGCACTCGTTGACTTGCTCCAGGATGTTCCTAAGAATTGGTATCTGATTCACATTCCCCCTTCTTGTCCGGATCCCTGCCTGCTCTTCCTAAGGATATGGCCAACTCCAGCCTGTATTCTGTTAAATATTTTGATGAGTTTTCTGCTTAGTGTTTGGATATTGTGATGATAATTCTGCCTAGTGCTTTGCTGGCTAGGGACAGCAATGCCACCCCCTTCAGTTGTTGCAGTCCTGTATCGGTTGCCTCTATGGAATTTTGCAGATCAGTCCTTTGGTCCATTTTTTGAGCGCTTTCTCCTTCCATGTCTGGTAAAGGTCTGCTTTAGTTCCTGGTTGGTATGAATCAAGTCTACCTTTGACATTCATTTCTGCTGTTATGAGATCTGCTTCAGGGATCCTCTCATTCCGAAGGTTCTTCGGTGCACCCCATTTCCTGTATTGCATTGTGGGTGGCCCAACTAAGATGTCGAGCTCTTCTCTCTCATCTGCTCATCTTGTGGTTTTTGTCAGCTGTTGTGCTATGCTGTACGCTTTTTTCTGCGTCCTGTTCTCGTCTGCTGTATGTGTTCCTTCAGCTTTTTCTGCCATCCATCTTCTCTTGTTCTCTCGCACTTTTCTTGATTGCTTTGTCTTTCTCTCTGTAATTTTCCTTCAATCTGGTATTGACTTTTCTGATCTTGTGCTTTCATTTTGTCTCGATGTTTTTATTCTTTCAACCTACATGTGTTTTCGCTGATTCAAGGTTTGCTTTTTCTTTTTCTGATGCCAAGTATTTCCTCTGTTGAATTCACATATCTCAGGGATGCTATCTTCTGCTGCATCGCGCTTCTTCATTTTTTTCAATATCGTCAGTCTTTTCCATGTGTTTTCTAATGCCTTTCTCACGCAGTCATTTAACTTTGCTTTAATTTCTCTATTTTGAGACTCTCTACATCAAGTCTTGTTTTCAACCGCTTTTAATTCTTATGTATGCGAAGGCGTAGCCTGATTCGGGTGTTCACCAGGTAGTTGCTGCTGTTGGCATCAACTTCCCTCCAGACTTTCATGTCAAGAACAGATAATCTCCAATAATGCGAAGGTGGTCAATCTTGGTGTCTCAAAGGATCTTGTGGGACGCTGGGATTCCATAAGGCTTCATACATCGTCGTCTTACTGCTATTATTGGCTATCCCCGCTTCACCCGGTCTTCTTTGATGTCCATTGTTTCTATAAATGCCATTTTTTTCGGGAGAAGGTAGTCGGCCTCCTGCCCCACCCCCAAGATTGGAGGACCAGTGGTATTCTGTCATGATGTGCTTCGCTAATGCTGGGTTTGTCCACGGCACCTTCTTTAGTCCTAGTCGTGCAGCCCAAGGGGGGGGGGGGCGCCCCCCCCTTAAATCCGCCCGCTTAGATCAACATTTTTTAAATCAGCTGAGAATGGAATCGAACCCGGACACTAAAACTCTTCATGATGAGACTCTGCTCTCTATCTTTCTGAGCTATACTGACATAAATTTAAAACCGCATGATAGAAATACGTTTTTGCATTTTTGGTAATTTTTTTAAAAAAGAATTTCAAACTCTGGGACAGGGGTTCTTTTTTAAAAAAATCTTATTCAAAAATATTACTTAGATCAAAATTTTTTTAAATCAACTTTGGAGCAGGCCTACCTTGAAGGACTTCTACGCCAAATGCTTTACTAAACTTTAACTTTACTGAAAAAAAATTGGTCCAAAATGCAATTTTGAAAACAAATTTGACTATTATACGATAGATAACAACTACTTTTTAAAATAAGACTTGAAAAATTGCATGCTCTCTCTCTCTCTCTCTCTCTCTTTCCCCCTTTCTCTCCTTAATATTTATAGATGCAGTCTTTTGTAACTACATGTACTTAACATCCTTATTAGTAGTCAATCAAGAAAATTGTCTATGGAAGTGTTGTTAAAAAACTTTTTATCAAGGATAAACATTAACTCTTTATGTGTTAAATTAATGTTTGCATTTTAAATACTTGTATATAAATCTGCACAATGTACTACAATTATCTTCACCTTTATCGGTGCGATTGAGACCGATTGATATAACGCTACACTGATTGTTACACAATATCAATATCATTGCTATCAGTCAATTATAAATGCGACTTATTGATTTAGATGGATTCAATCTGATTAAAATGCGATGATATTGATCCACTAGATAACTGGTATGCGATGGTATCAAGCATCTTATTTGAATTAGACAGAATTGATTTTGACTGCCATTGTTTTCTATCAATACCCAATGTAGTGGGATGTTGTCAATTTGACCTTAACTAGAGTCAAGCACACGTATGTTGACAATTTTAATTGTCACTAATGATAAAAACTCCTTTGCATTCAAAATTAACAGAAGTGAGTTTGGACTATTTATTTCAAAATAAACTTAAAAATTCCATTTAATCTGTCATATACTAGTAAACGAAATTTAAAACATGACTTCATATGAATATACAGATATGCAATGTAACAATTCAGGAAGGGGGTGGTAGGTCAAGAGTGCGTGGTTATATTTAATAACTTTGCTATTTTTACCGTCAGTGACTCTACACAAATAGAATGTCAACATAAAATCTATTCAAGCATTTGTAAAGTTATATATAAATGCTTATTAATATTTTTTATATTGCGTTATCTTTTTGAGTTTCTTTTAACATATGCACTTCGGATTCTGTAGTTGACAATCTTTCATTTATTTTCTTCATTTCTTGATTTATATTTTTGATATCGTCTTTTGTTGCCATATTACTGGATACATCGGTCAGTATGGTATTAAATATATCTTTTAAATTACTTTGATACATTTCACTCTGAGCTACATCCTTTGTGAATTTCGATAAACAGTCATGTGGTAGACGAAGAGCATCAAAAACTTTGTCTATAGGCGTCATTATACAAGATCCGTATGATGTTTTAGCAACAGCTAATCCAATGCATCTTAGAACCAGAGGATTGTCATGTGAAATAAAAAAGACGAATGATCCAGAGTCACCAATGTCTATAAATGGTTCTCTTGAATCAGATGCTAAAGAAGGATCAATCTGTGGAAGAACTTCCATTTGTTTGCAAAGTGTTATGGAAAATTTTTCCTCTATCACTACGTCTTGGAAATCAAAAATACGGGCACAACTTCGTCCAATTTTTAAAGAACCCAATGTAATTCCAGTATTTGCACCAATCTTTAGGACTGGTTTCCGAAAATTATACATTTTAATTTGCTCCACCTCCCCTTTTACGAAATTTGGCATGTTCTCTTTAGAAAACCCTGTAATACAAATACATGTAGCAGGTTAATGATATACCACATATGCTTATTATTTATAGAAGAAATATCACTCGGAGATCAATTAGCATATATTCATAAATACATACCTGCTCCGCTGAATTGCTCAGTGGTGTAGACCTTTGCAAATTCTCCATTGCATGGTTTCCGATCTTGCTCGGTTATTTCAATCAGAGCAGCATCTATGCTCACTTCATGTACCGTTCCGTGTTTGAATTCAATGTTCTCTACACTTCCTCTTCTTATTTTTTGTTTATCAGCAACTTTTATTTCTCTTTTCCGTGCATATTTGCCCAATTTCTCTTTTGTCAGTTCAGCTATGGGCAAAACAACATGCGCACATGTCAGGAAGCACTGCCTCTCAGGGTTTTGAAGGGTAACAAAACCACCCAATGTGCCAGATTTTGTCATGTTCATCAAATTTTCCGTTTTATTTCTTGACTCATTTGAACTGGATAGACTGCAAAGGTACAAACAGCTTCGCGGACGTCTATTCGATGACCATCAAGTGCAGTTGGAAATGCCTCTTCCCCGATCGGGGTCACGCCTTTTACATGACAATAAATGACAATCGAAGGGACTCTATCTATTCTAGATCTGTTATTAGGAGGATGACTTGAATAACCAATAGAACACACACTTGATGTATTTATCAACGAAATATTGCTATGTTTACTAAAGAGAGAATTAATGTCACTGTCTTTAATTTGGACACTCAAAGTGCTGGCTGAGTCGTACACATCATGAATCAACAGCCTCGATGCTTCATCGCTACACTCATTGGCGCAACGTACCAGTAAATGAAGACCCCAAAAGGTATAACTCAGGTCAGATGGTTTTGGTGGATTTATGACAACAACTATTGTGTCGACCCCATAATGCTCTTTTCGTTGTCGACCAACCCATATCCGCAGAACATCACATTTATTCTTAATGAATGCTTGGAATTTAATCTTGATTTTTTTCAACAATAACATGACTGCTGAAAGAGTTTTCTGGTTTCTCCATGCAAAACTTCTCACAAATATTTCGCATATCTTCATCTGATGCAATTAAAAGAGCAAACTTTATTAACTGTCTGTTTTCAGATTTGATTCCTTCCCATATGATTTTTTTCAAATTTTCAAAATCTGAAGTTTCATCGTTTATTTTGTTGCGTTCTTCAGATTTCCTAATATTTGTCACTGAATGTGATCGACATAAACCTTCTTCAGTTCTTTTGTCCCCATAATTACGTTTGTTGTATGTAGATGTTGTATCTAGCGCACACAAGCGAGTAAATCCTTTTCTTAACGTAAGTTCAGGAAGATTTTCTTCAAAAACTTCTAAGTTGCTTTTAACGGGACGTTTTAGGGCTTTTGACAAAGGGACCCAATCATGTCGTCTATTCGTTCTATGCCTGTCTTTATCTAAAATAGCACGTTTATCAAGAAATAAGATTTTTTCGTCAATACTACTCTGAACATATTTCAATGATTTATTCAATGTTAACCCTTATCCATAAACAAAATTATATTTACATTTCCTAATTGAAGAAGTAATAAATGTAATAAAACTAATTAACTTAACCAGAAAGTGGTCCATCCGAATAAGCACTATCAGGCGATGGTGGTCTTGAGGATTCAAAGGATGACCGAGGACTTTGTAAAATCTGAAAAGAAAGAGCGAGTGCAGTGTATTGTATTTGATATAAAATTTGTGTCGAATCTTTTATCATTTAAGTAATAATTCGAATTATGAAGAATTATGTTCATTTCTTGAATGTTTTATACTAGAGTTTTCAGCTAAAAAGATAACTTTAAATGACATCAAACCTACCCCTTGTGTTCTACGGTTTATAAGTCCATCCATTTCTCTTTTGAGGTAGTTTTTTCAACGAGCTGTTAATCCATAAATAATACACATTCAATAGATCTCGTTTACATATTTTGCTGATTTATTTCAACTGCCACACAAAGCTTTTGTTAATAAAATCAACTTTGTTTAGGTTCGAATTATATAACCACCACGCTCTCAGTAGCAATACAAAAAAGTACCATAAAAGTACATGTATCTTTATTTTGACAATAAATACATGTACATTTCAAACTATATTTTAAAATACGCTATATAGGGGACTTTTGAAATATTGTGAGTTGTGAAGTTTAAAAGTACAAAATGGGAAGTTTAATAAAACCCAAACCTTCTTTTTGTGTTTTCTTTTCTTTGAAAATCATTCCCAATCAGAAAGTTTATTTGACAATTTTTTTTACAACAATTGTCAGCGATTTTGAGCAATAAGAAGCAAATAAAACAGCTGCTGATTTTCATTTTGGTTTTTCAAAACGTTTTCAACAAATGCCTTCTGAAATCATAAGATAAAACAGCTCATCATATGTTTTTCAGTACTCTTAGATAAAAAAAATGTTCCCATTTTTTCTCACTAGTCAAAACATTTTGAAGATCTTCTGGATACACTCAAGTATTATATGAAAACCTTTTAATAAAAGTAATTTCACCGATAAGTTTGCTTGAAAAATACAGATAAAATTTCTTAATGATTTCTCAATTGACATGCTTTCTATAAAAATATTCTGAATCGCAAAAAGCACCAGTCTTGTATCTAAGTCAGCGTCAGCTCTAGAGTCGAGAAGTAAGAAGTGATCTAAGTCAAGGCTTCGAACCTCACTGTGGGACGTTGAGATCGCTCCTTCGGATGAGACCGTATATATAAACCAAGGCCTCGTGTCGCAGTAGTTGCTGGCACGAAAAAGATCCCTCCCTGCCCAATGATCCTAAGTGCCGAGTGTATAGGACAAAATTTGCAGCTCTCCACCGGCAATTGGTGGCGTCACCATATGAGTAAAACATTTTCGAGAGAAACGTTAAGCAATATACAATCAATCAATCAACCTTTCAAGATGAGGGAATTATAATTATTGATAATGGCTATGAAACTATCAGTTTCTGAAAAAAAGAATTTCAAAGTGTTCCATTATTTATGATGAATAGCCAAAAGAGTGCAAAATATAGGTAATTGCAGTCATAATGTTGAATTACATATCATTTTAAATATTCATTTAATTATTATATTTTTATATGACTTACGTACGTTATGATATTTCTTGCAGGGCGATCGATATCCCATCTAGTCCATGATTAAAAGACCACTTCACAATTCTATATCCAGAAATAAGTCGGCGATACAACAACCAAAACATCGATTCTGTCTAAAAACAGGGTTTCGTCCTATAAATTTTAGTATGTATTAATTTAAATAACTTATCGACAGAGGAATTTGAATTGAAAGATACATAAGTAAAAAAAAACTTATCAGTGTTGTATACCTGTTAGGAAGATAAGAGAACCGATAAGTGCTAGCTGAAATCAGAACTTTAAATCTTTTTTGAAACTTCCTTTAACTCCGCAATTTTTAAATGATATAAGATTAACGGTAAACATCAAATGATAACAGAGATTTAGCTGTATTCCCCTAGAGGTATACGAGGGGTTATCAAAAAGTTGGAGGACTGCTTCGATAAAATTAAACTATGTAGTGTTTACCTATAAAATTATGTAACATAAAATAACGAAAGTTATAACAGTGTTGAAAATTTTAATTTGATACGTTTATGTATCGTCATCGAACACCCTACGTAAGGATTGACTTTGCGTCTCTAGAGCAAACGCTCTAAAATTTAAGGTAATGAAAATTGTTTTTGCCCGTCCGTTCGCCTATCTCCCTGTGTGTCTTTTAACCTTCTTATGTATTTTTTCGATTTCTTTTCATTGTCTATATAGCTTTCGATATATGAGACATTTGTCGCTTTAATAGTTGGGAGAGGATGCTCCGCTTTTTTTTTTTTTGTGATACGGGTATATTTTTGTACACTTGTTTAACACAAAGGAAATAATACATTAAAACCGAGCAATCGATTTCTGGGCAAAGAATGTATCAAAAGCATGCAGTTTTTGGTGATTATAAAATGCTTGAATCTTTTCTTTTTTGGCCATATATATTGGAGGCAACCAATTTTATATGTAATAGTCACATACTGGGAGGCAAATTTTTCGTTGCATAATTGTTTAAAAATGTTTTCTCAGGAATTATGCTTAAATGTTACATAGTCTCCCAGTCTTTTTATTCAGTTTCATGTATTACATATATATTATATGTTGTCATTTAATAATAAATGGCATTGTTTGGAACAACAACCAGGATGTCCCTGCCCACAATTTTCTTGCAATCATAGGGTACCGTATAAGTAGAATTTTTAGAGAGGATTTAATTTTGGCATTATTAGCGAGGGTGCAAAGATCGCTAAAATTTAATATCGCTAATTATTAATATTGGTTTATTTGTAATAGGTTCTTTAGTGAGGTTTTTAAAAATCGCTAAAATTACATCTCGCTAAAAATAAATTACCCATTTTTAAGGTTAAATCGCTAAATTTGCGTCTCGCTAAAATTTCCACTTATACGGGTATTTCATTGCTAGATTGGGCCCTGAGCATGTACCTCATTCATTTCATGAGCAAACAAACAGAAATGGAAACTGTCTTGCTGAAATTCTCGTTGAATTCGGACTATTAGCAGTTTAACAAGCGCCCTGGAAAACTCTGGACATTCAAATGTAGAGCATCCAACACACTGAGACAACTTGACTACATTCTTCTTCGTCAAAAATGAAGAAATAGCGTTCATAATGTAGAGGCGTACAACTCCTTTATCACAGTGAAGTCTGACCATAGAATAGTGTCTGCGAAGATCAAGCTCAGTCTAAGAACCTCAAAAAAGCTCAGTACGACTGGAAACAGTTCTCCAAGAACCCTGAGCTTCAACGAAATTACATAATCGCTTTGGAGAAAAGATGTCAGATACTGGCTGATGAGAGTAACAGCGAAAGATACGAAAAGTTTGTAAAGGCCAATCAAGAAGCAAAGGAAGAATGTCTCCCGAAACGATCTAAATTCAAGAAATCACTTAGGTCATCCGACGCCAGAGTCTCTAAAGCTCGCCAGAAAGCCCAAGAAGCCCAGAGGCAGTATGAGTCATCAAAAACTGATGTGGACAAAGATCTATTAGTCTGAAGCAGTGAATAACCTTTATCAAAATTACAAGCTAGCACAAGAAGAACTAGCTGAACAGATCCAAGATATTGAAACTGCACATGAAGAGCAAAGATGTGGAGATACATTGAAAGTTGTTAAAGAGATCACTGGTAGAAAGAAGGCAAAAGAAGAACAGGTATCTGGAAATAGCCCCGAAGAGAGAGTCAGCACATGGTTTACGCACTTCAAGAATTTCTTGGGAAATCAACCTGTTGTAGACGAGCCTGATGAGGAAACTCCAAATGTGTTTGATGATATCGACATCAATGATGAGGCTTTCACTCTGGCTGAGTACAGAAAAGTAAAGTCCTCCCTGAGGCTAAGCAAGGCAGCAAGTACTGATGAAATTCCTCCGGAAGTCTTCAAACTGTGTGTCTTTGATCAAGTTTGTTTAGATTTCTGTAATGATACACTCGTCAACAATGATAAACCAGATACATTATCATTCATGAATGTTGTAACTGTGCCCAAGTCTGGCGACCTATCAAAAACTGATAACTACAGGGGCATCTAGCGTGTGTCACAAAATAATTATACATAAATATATTTAAAAATCAAAAAGATTTTAGGAATAACCAGCGTAACCATTTTGTATCCTTTACAAATCCCTTTTTATTTCTTCTCTCCTTGCACTCTCATTCCCTTCCTTTCTTATCTCTCTGCACCCGCTTTCTTTTTCTTCTTCTTCTTTTCATATTATTGTATATTTGTTGCTTGTACATCACGTGTATATATTTTTGTTTGTGTTGGAGAGGACAATCTAAGTTGGCATAGATTGTGTCCGATCCCATTGATTGTGTTCAATAAAATATGTTTAAATCAAAACTAATCAGAATTGTTTTTGCCCCGGGAGAACAACAGTAGCAGAGATTCTTTCCCTCCGCAGAATAATCGAAGGTGTTAAAGCCAATAAATTGAAAGCAATCTTAACCTTTATAGATTTTCGTAAAGCTTTTGACTCCATACACAGAGGAAAGATGATACGAATACTCAAGGCATATGGAATTCCACCTAATCTTCCTCGTTCAATCAAAAAGATGCACACCAATACCATGGCA